ACTTCCAACACTTATTGCATCATTTGCATATAGTATAGTTTTATAATTTAGATTATAAGATGGTTAAATATTATGTAAATCTATTTTTGTTAAAAAATGTATTTTTTCTAATGAACTATTAGAAATATTATCATAAATTTAATCTAAAATTTGTTCAAATGGTATATGCTGTGACATCTTACTGGCTATATTATCTCGAACATCCTTATTTGATGGTAAATGCCCGAAATCATTTTCATGTATGATTAGCTACAAACTTCACTGTACACTTTTTACTTAATTTACATATAACATCAATGCCAGATGAACAATATCAATTCATTGCGTTTTTAAATGTCTCAGACCTGTACTTTTTGAAATATAATTTTCATTTTTGGGACATGTATAGTATATAAATGTTTTTATTATCATGATCATTATCAATATATCCACAATTTTTGATGTAATATGATTTGGTTTTATGTTCAATTTTATCTTTCATAAATTAAAATATTCAATATGTTTGAATTCAAGACATTCTATGGGATATATCAAATAAGGTTTAACAGTTTTAATTTATTAAATAGACAATTGCAAAATGATTTGTCACATTCTTTACAGAAGAACAAATATAATTCCTTTTTTTGGAAATTATTTTATTTTTGTCCATGCTATAATATCAATATCAGTTTGAGTGTGGTTTTTTTCAAATATGAGCGCTAAGATTTTTTAAGAATTTAAATGTATTTCGACACTCAGTGCATGTGACTGCATTTTCTAACATATTTGATAAAACCTAGTAAAATGTAAGTTGTGTTTTACTTATATACCCATTTTTACTGTAATATATTTTAATTAACTTTTAAATATTCAGTTCTATGGCTATCCAATATACACAGTTTAAATAAACGTTAAAGTTACTTAAATTCACTGAAGTGTAGAACTATAATACTGTGAATAATTCAGATATTTTTGTAATCCAACATCCATACATCAAATATCCATTGTTCATGGTAATATTTCTTTAATACACAATATCATATATAGGTACCTATTATATGAGTATCTTATGAGATCATATAATGCTATCTATAAAACCTTTATCAGGAAAATATTATTGGGTTGAGCAATACAGTTTTCCATTTATATGGGGGAGAGGAAACCTATTTATATAAAAATTGAAAATGAGATATTTACTGTTTTACAATATCAATTTCAAAATTTATATTATTCTTTAATTAAATGTATAAATTTTTGTTGAACAGCTACAATATATTTCATGATAAAAAAAAGACTATCAAATTGTATGCATGATAGGTCTAGAAAATACAAGATTAAATTTTAAATTTTTATTCTAAACTTGACTTAAAATATTTACTAAATAAATTGCTAAACATATTTAATTTATCATAATTCCAAAAATGTATCTATATTTAGAGATCATTTATTTATGTAATTAATAAAACTTTAAATATTAATAAATAATATATAAAATATAAATGCTGTGTATACACTTGACCATGGTTGCTCAAGGAACACTAGACCAGAAAAAAAGATAGGCATACTATTTCCACAATGGACCACTATTGTAGGTAAGAGTTGGGAAGGTAGGATGTAGAGGGAAATTTAATGTTTTTATGTATGTAATGATTAATCATTGCCAATTAAAAAATATTCTTAGCAGAGTTAAGTTATACATGTTTTAAAAGGCCTGCTTGGTATATATTAATATTACATATAGAACTAGCAAAATGATAATTGTCTATAAAAAGCTCAAATGCTTTACAAATTATACTAAAATATATAATATATAATAGTATAAGTTATTATTTATGTATAGGTACTAAGTTTTGTTAATTAATTGTTAAAATTAAAATTAAATTGAAAAAATATAAATTAGGAAATTGATAAGGGATTGCACATTTATTCAACTTGTATATTTCAATCATGGTTCTAATTGTCTTTGGCTAAAGGAACATAGTTGGGCATATATTATGATATTGACTATAGACACAGTGAAATATAAGTATATAGAATGAGAATCTTTCGAATCTACAATTCCAATAACTCACAACAACCAATCATTTCTTTCTTTTGCTATATTCCAAAAACTATAGATTAGCTTGTACTCTAATTTCCTTCACATGTTTGCCATTTTACACTTTCTAAAAAAAAGTTGTATAAGTACCTATCTATTGAGTTTTAAATTATTATTCAAACAAATATTTTATTTGACAAGATATTATAATATTTGTATAATATAATAATAATAATAATATTTATTTGTCAATAACAATAGTATATACATTATTTTTTACAAGGGAAAATGAACACATTGACAATTCCCGCAATAAGCATAGCTTGTGATAGAGGATAGTGAGTTCAAATCTATAATAATATATACATACATTAAAACTATAGCAAAATGTACATAAGAATTTATAAATAAATAAAAATTAATTAATATCTAGTAAACAAAAAAATAAAAAATAATCAAATTAACATATTATTAGAATCTAAGGATAGTATGTAATTAATTATTTGTTTTTTATTCAATTATATAATTGACTAAACATGATATTTTATTTCCTGCATACAATAGTTCCAACATAAACGACAGTTTTAAATTTAACTGAATTTAGATTCAATAGTTTTTTAGATCTGGTATTGTGTACATGTTGTATAGTAAAGCTGCTGATGTCCATTTTTATAAACTGTAGAATATTTTTAAAATAAAGTACATTATTTTTTAGAACATCAAAATCATTATATTATTGGACAATTGAGCAGTTAATCTTTATTAAGTATAATTTTGATTAAAGTATTTACCACAACTTCTAATTTATGCAAATTAATTTTGTTAGTTCCACCCCATACAACAATTTCATATGAAAGAATGAATTGTGTTAATCAAAAGTACACCATTTAAGATTGTTAATATTTAAAATATACTTCAATGATATAAATTTAAAAAACCAAACATCTAATAAATAAGGAAATGTAATCAAAATGATTTTTCCATTTCAAATGTTCACCAATAAAAATTTCTAAATATTTTATACTAGCTGTTTTTTGTACAGTCATACAACTGTTGTGGTTAGTAGATTGGGTTTACTAAAATGGATCATGTTTATTTCATCAATATTTGAAGTTTATGAATGAAATGAATTTTGATTTTTGAATATTTAACATTAATCCTAAATTGTCCAACCAAAGTTTAACTTTTTTAACACATGGAACTGAATTTTTATATACATCCAAAGGATTATTTTCATCAACTAACAGAACCGACTGTCAGCAAAACAAACTGTTTTACAATTAATATCTATATTTAATAAGCTATTTATGTAAATTATAAATAATAAAGGTCCTAAGAGTTCCTTGTGGTATACAAAAATTAACTCTGACTGTTTAGCTATGAATATTTTCTAATGTTGTGTTTTGAAACTTTGAATCTAAGTATGACCTAAAAAGACAATGAGCCGTTCCTTTTATACCACAAGATTTTTTTTAATAAAATTATATGATTAACTGAACCAAATACCTTTTTAGTATCAGAAAATATACCAATTACTCTTTTATTACAATCTAAGTACCTACGTATGTGATCTGTAACAGCAACTAAAGCATCAGTTGTTGAATTATTTTTCATAAAACCAAACTGATTTATAGTAAAAAATTGATTAGTATTTAAAAATTGTAAAACTAACCTTAATAAATTTTTCAATAAATTTAGATATTAACAGTGTTAAAGAAATAAGTCAATAATTATTGCGATCTTTTTTATCACCTCCCTTAGAGGTGTTAATAGAGGAATTAATATTGCTTTTTTGAAAAGTGTAGAATATTCTGAAGATATAGCTAAATTAAAAATAATATTTAAGGGCACAACAATCTGAGAAGCAGTTTTTTAGAATTTCGTTTAAAATACTAGAGTAATCAACATTACAATATTTATCAATGTTTATCAATAGTTACAAAAGGTTTCTGTAATTATTGCAAAATGAATTAAAATCACGTTCAAAAGAACATTTCTTTTTAATTAGATGTAACTTCTCTCTTTGCCCAATTACTATAAGACCATTTGTTATCCAATTTTTTAATTTTTTTAATTTAGAATTTTTACCAATATGTTTAGTGTGTGTAGGATATTCAATCACGTCCTTCATATAACTAGATTGACTATACTGTCTATAGAGGTTACCCTCAAAATATCATTCTTACAGGTTGTACTAATTAACATATTAATATGTTCAAAATTAACACGCTTTATCACAAGGTCCGATTTGTTTTGTGAATTAGGTATATTATAATCTTTTTCAAAGATAACAATAGTCATAATTAGAGCGAAATGGTCAGAAATATTACAGTTTAAAACATATGAATTAATTAAACCAACATCAACAGCTTTTAGTAAAAAATGATCAATGCATGAATTTGATTCGTTATGTACTCTAGTAGATATATTAATACACAAATAAAAGCCAAATTCATTCAAATAATTTAAGTAGTTAGATACAGATTAGTTGCTAGAAAAAAGGTCAATATTTAAGTCATCTCCAAAAATATGAAAATTATTATTTGAAATTGCATTAAGATATTCATACAAACTATTTAAAAATAGACTAACATCATTATTAGATCTGTACACACCAGTTACAATATAATTAATTGAATTAAACGTGAAAGATATTTCAAGTGAGTTGCAGCTATTAATAACAGAAGTATTTACATTTAGGATCTTAAATTTGGTATTCATAAAAATACAAACAAAATCAGCTTTATTTAAATTATTATAAGTACCAAAAAATTATAATCATTAATTACAAAACTATTGTCAATCAACCAAATTTCATTTAAGATAATAACATCAAAATTGTTATCAATAGTACTTGATAAAACAATAAGTTCATAAAAATGACATTTTAAGCTCCTAATATTTAGCGTAAAAATAAAAAATGCAGCATTTTAAAGTAAATATAATAAGTATAATAACTATAAAATTATAATACAATAATCGAGTTCGAGAACACAGTAAATTTTTGCACATATTTTTTGTAAAAAAAAACTTTTCTAATTTCCATACGTGATTTTAACATTTTTATTTTGCCCTGAGGTTCACCCCTAATCGATTTTTTTTCCCTGTACATTACCTATCCGACGCGGTTTTGCACAACAAATTGAGGGTTATTTTCGATTAAACAGTCCAAGCGAACGCAACGATCGAGTGACCCCGCTAGATCTCTTAAGTGCACCCAAAAGCCAAAATGCATGTTTTCAAAAAAAAAAAAAAATTGAAAAACAAGGTATCCGGTAAAATAAACTTATATTACTGTGGTGATAAATAATGATAAACTTACGATAATAAAGAAACTGTATCAATAGTTAGCCGTGATAACCTACTCTAAAAATGACTCGCGTTGCCAGCTGTAAGCAGACTCGCGATTCTTTCATCAATTTATTTGTAAAACGGATGTTATCACTTATCATAGTACAGATACGATTGTATCAACACTGTGATTGGAACTATTTACCATTTGGTATTGTGGCGCTGCCTTCTCCACAGTAAAAATTTCCCAACAAAACAAGAGCGTCTCTGTGCTGATTGCATTGAACTCTATATTGAACTCATATGTTATCATACAGAGTTCAATAGTTGTTTGATTATGTACACTACAAAATGTATATCTAATTCTTTTTTATAGTACAGCACTCGATAAGGATTGCAGTATTACACATTTTAGCGAAGTATTATAATGCTATTTGCTATTTACTATTTACCGATATTGTTTTATAAATCAATATAATTTGTATATTTATATAAATTAATAATTATACATACCATGTACGGAAATCTATTGAAGTAAGTTTAGTTACAACTTGTTTTGATTTAAATTTGTAGGTATTGACGTAACATAACATTAATGGAAAGTAAATTATAGGTTTATTTCAATATCTATACACAATTATAATCATATTAGCACAATGAAAATTGATTATCCTTTATTCCGGTATTTGTTTCTGTAATTAAGATTAAATAATTTTATCTGCCTATTTGTTATTAAAGTCACAAATTTTACTTATATAAGAGACCAATAAGACCTCATCAATATTTTCGCAAGATATTGCAAATCAATTTGAAAGTTATCTATCTAGGTTATTAGATAATTTTCATTATAATAGTATATCAATGTCAAAATTTCATTTGTTCTAATTTAATTTGGCCGGCATTAAACATGACTAATGTTCCAAATGTTATAAAATACTTATGTAGTTATAAAAGTGTTTGCAAGAAGTACGTAAATAGCACTTTCTTAACTTTAAAAATATAATTTAATATTTTACTGGTTCACTTAAGTATTTTAAACTGATAATAAATATCTAGATACTTAAAAGTTAAAAATTAAAGTGTTTGGAAATGCATTGTAATTCATAATTTTTATATATATAATACAATTTTTCTATTTGTATTTTTATGACTTAGATAGGTACCTATATTTTAAAGATTAAGCCTACTCATTAGTCTAACTTAATGCACTTAATCAAAAATTGCCATGTAAAAAGAAGTATTAAATTTGTTTTATTTTTCTGTTATAGGATTGTTAAAAAAGACAAAATTGTCTTGTTTCAAAATAAACCAAATGATATTACAGTTCAACATATTCCCAACATTGATCATGTTGAACCTTCCATAGAGTATATATGTCCAATATCTGAGTAAGTAACCGGTTTTTATTCATTTTTTCTATAAAAAAACGGGTATATTTAGGTACATTAGTGTCACCAATTTGAATAAAGAAACCTAAATAATGTAAATTAGGTAATAACGTAAATGCCTAGCCAATATCTAAAATGCCTAACATTAATAGACATTATCTTCAATGCTTAGGCAATAAAATAAAAATTAGTTCAACATTTTTATTAATATTGTCTGAAACATCCCAGCATTATCATTGCTTAGGAAATATTTATGTCTGCCGGTAACATATATATTTATATATATATATATATATATGTATCTTTTTCCTACTACTTTTAGGCATTTCTAGTAGCTTCCTCAGGACTAAATGAACTCAAACTCAGGAATTTGAGTTGTTTTGTAAGTGAATTGATAAAAGTTGGGTGGAAATTTAAGATAAATTAAAGAATATTGTTTGGGTACATAGAACATAGTGTTTTTTAGCTACGTACACTCATATAGAAGAATACATTTTGTATAATATGAATGGTGTCAGGATCAAGTTTGTACCTTTTGGAAATATCAACTTTCAACTCTCACCCCTACCATTTATATAATCAAATTTTACTTTTTTGTTTTTGATGTTTTATAGTGTAAGAGGTATTCTATTATTAAAGTATTTAGTTATTTATTATTTTGCAAAGAATATTTTTATTGTAGAAAAAAGTAGGGGAAAATTCTACTCTAAGATCTTCTGCGTGATTATTTTATACATTATTTATGTTGTTATTATTAGTTTATAAATTAATTATAGTTATTTTATAGGTTATTAGACTAGAGTTTTTATTTTAACATTAATTCAATAGTTTGAAAGAAACTACTTATTATTTTTATAAAATAAATCAATGCCACATGTTAAAATTTAACTTGATTTGTATTTATTATTTGCAGTAACAGAATTTCTGTAAAAGAAGATAATATTAATGCTTTTAACCAAGAACCAATTATCATCACAGTTAACCCCCAATCCCCAGAACAAAATGGATGTTTTACAAACAAGGATTACCTATTGCCTACTACTACAGAGTAAGTTGATTAGATAGCATTTGTTTTTATTATTTAAATTCATATTAATATCTCTATTAGCCAGTATTGGTTAATCTATGTATATATATGTATAAATGTTAAGTGTTTGTTATTTTTAACTAAAAAAAATATTAAAAAATAATACGTAATATTCATGACATTATACCTTTTCTTACAAATTTTACATAATATTTTATTAATATTTAACTATTATAGTCAGTAATTATAAAACCTATAGTTTAAAATTGATTGGTAACTGGCTGGGCTTACATTGCTGGTAACATAGTATAAAATTGTCTTTACCATTGCCTTCATCTCAACTATTTGAGAGGATTAACCGGCATAAAAAAAATTGCTAACAATGATATTATATTATTGTTAAGAACTGTAAATATGGAAGTTTAAAAATGTATTTTGCTATTAAACAATAAATAGATAACACCTGTTTCAAACAAGTTGAGAAACAGTTGATATACATATATTAAGAATTTTATTATTCTTATGTAAGTATATCTTAGTATATTGGGTAGTGTTAGTAGAGTCTACAAAAAATTTGTCCAGTGGTATCAAATGATTTTATCATAGGGAAAATAAAGATAATTGTTTGACAACTATTATTAAATACTTTTGTATTACTAAATATTTTTTTATGTATATATATATATATATTAAGTATATCTTATTATAAATACTAAAGGGAAATAAGATAATGGAAAATATGTATTTAAAAATCTAAAATCGAACCTATGTCTTATATTAATATTATATGTAATTTTATTTTATTCAAATAATTTAGGTCATAGTTATTTCTATTAATCTATAAAAATAATGGGTAAATATTAAATGTAGATGTAGATGTCCTTAGGCTTCCACATGTGAGTTTTCTCAGTATTGGATTAGTAATCTATAAAAATATATTGATCTAAAATTTTGATCAATATTTAGATTCTAAATAGTAATCTCTAATGAGTTTGATTTGTTTTAGTTATAATACTAAGACAGAACATTATGAATACAAAAATGGAATAGATAATGTCACACTTCAACTTATACCACCTATGGAACAATATCAATTATTTTCAAATGCAAATGATTCTTTTTCAATTGGACAGTAAGTATAATATAATGTATACAATAAATCATAAAGTTTACCTTATGATGACTTTTTTTTTTTTTTGTGGAAACCTATTACACAATCATTTATAATAAATATTTTCTTTATTTTCTATTCATTTTATCGTTAAAAAATATAATAATAAAATACATTTCCAATCATTTTTATTTTAATATTTAGTTTAATTGTGTAGAAATATGAACATTTATTGTGTTTTTGTAAGAATTTATTTTTCCTTGCTCTGCTCATTTAAAATGACATAATATTAATTTTTCTTCATTTATTATTTATTTATATATGTACATAATGCAATAAACTTCAAATTACACACTGAATTGACTGAAAATAAATGTTTTACTTTTATTGGAACATATAAATTGTTAATTATCATTTTATATATTTTTTGACATTTTCATAAAAAAAAAAAAATATATTAATTTTACTAAATGTACAATTCAAATTTCAGAATTCCAAAAAAGCCAAAGAGAATATCTTCAGATGTTAAAAAGTACCTATGCTATATGTGCTCAAAAGCATTTTCTCGAAGCAATCATCTTACAGACCATATAAGAACTCACACTGGTGAAAAGCTTTATTCCTGTGGAGTGTGTTTTAAAAAGTTTTTCAGAAATAATCATTTAACAACACACATGAGAACTCATACAGGGGAAAAACCATTTTCATGTAACATGTGTCCTAAAGCATATAAAGGAAGAAGTAGTTTAATGTACCACATGAAAACTCATGGGTAAAAAGACTAATCAATTTAGTTAAATCGTTTAATGTGATCATTATTTTTTTTATAAAACATGAAAATACTGTAAATGTTCTACCTCGTATTAATTTAAATAATTATTAATATTATGTTTGATGTTGATTTTATTTTATTTAAATTTATTTATTGCAACATACTGTTTGATAAATAGTATATTGTATAAATATTAAAATCTAAATAGAAATTTTTAGTATTATAATAATGTTACTTTTTTTCTAGTTTGCTGCAAAAATATGACTTATTACATAATGTTTTTTATTGAAGATTTACCATGCTTGATTTTAATAACCTTTGCTCAAAAATATTATTTCATGATTTTTTTTTTGTTTTATAAATAATTTAAAAGCCTTGTACCAAAATGCAACAAGAACAGTGTTTTTAATTTGTAATTTAACTTATTTATACACAGCATATTTGTGTTTTATTGTGTATACTATTATGTTTTCGCTAAGTAAATTTTTTGTAGTAAATTTTTGTATGAACACTTCCTTCATTTACCATGGTTTACATCCAATTCCATTTTTGTAGATCTAAAGTTCCAAATTCCAAAATAAAAATGATCTTATGTATCTTTTCAAAGCCTCAGATTTATTTAAAAATATGTATATATTTTATTCAATCATATAATATGAATTTAATGTGATTTTTTTTTTTCATTTAACCAGTTTAAGAAATTTTAATGTATATTCACTTACCTACTTAAGTTAATGTGTGTCTGTGTGAAGTAAAAACAATAGAAACTATATATTGTTTCTGCTAGATAGGAAAGAAACATTTCAGTTTATAATATAATTAGCTCAATAAGAAGTGTTATGATTGTTTCGTATGCTTTATTTTAATAAATTGAAAAATATAAACTGCAGGCTTCACAATTTATGGACATGACACTTTAAATAGTTCTATTTATCATAAATTAGGTACCAACTATTCTTAGGATATAAACTTAATTCTTTTAAATGCCATTGTAGTTATATTTTGCTTTTAGATCTGGGCTTCTTATTTTTATCAGAATTTGTTAAGTTTGTTTTAAAAAAATAAACTTAACTGAACAAAAATGTACCTATTATTATATATTATTTAATAATAATATTTTGAAAGGGATAATTTATCATTTCAGGAAAATCATTCTCTTTAAAAAAAATTCTCGTTCACTAACACAATTAATAAGAAAAAGTTATTTTATGGGATCATTTTATTTGATACAAATAAAGTAAAACAAAACAATTTTTCCATAGGTAGCTATCAAGATTTTTTCAATATCCTGAAGTTAGAGTGGATATACATTTTGTTTATAAAAACCCCCACAATAAAGTCACATATTAATGAATAATCAATTTGTTGAAAGTAATAGCATTACTATAAAAGAACACAAATTCACCGTTCCATATATTTTTTTTAAATACAAAAGCATGCCATTACTCAGTGATATACCAACAGTGCACAATGAGGCTGATTGTATCCAGAGAAAATTGTAGAAAACTATGGCATGCCAAAATAATTTTTGAGGATTGTGCAATAACAATATATTACAATAAATTGTATCGAAAATATATTTTTAATATTTACTCACAATATTTGTATTTTGTATTGTTTTTGTTTCAATAAATTCATCTTGGTACTTTTATTCATTTTTCTGTATCCATATGACAGGCTTTTGTTATTTTATATAAAACAAGTTAACATAAAATAAATAAATAATTAGTAATTTGTTTATTTTGAATTTAGAGATCTTTAATATGTATACATTCGATTAACCAAGTATGTATTTATCACAGATTAATGTTAATGAAATACACAAATATATTTATCTTTTGTTTCATAATTAATTGAATAAATATTGCAATATTATGTGCAATTCAATATTTTGATAAAATGTAAATTAAATTCCACAAAGATCCTCTAATTTTATTTTATTAGTAAACAAATTGAATGGGTATATTTTATAGAATATTATTGTATTATATAGTTAATTGTTTTCTATATAAATTATTAGTGGATGATGTTTTTTTATATATAACTTGAATATATTTACTATAAATATGAATAGTAATTTTTATTGCAATTATTTTATTGTTTTAAGTTAGGAAAGCCCACACTGAGAGAATGCATATTTTTGGGTGTCTAAATGTACCTACTTTAAACATTAAACTATAATTCTAGAATATGTAAATTTTAAAGAATCTGGAAACTTAGTACATTATGATTATGTTTATAACCCAAAATAAATTAAATATTTTGGTTAGTAAATAGTTAACAGACAATTCTTAGGTAAATTCTAAAGTTCTTATTTATATTCTGGTAGGTACCTACTTATTTTTTTTAAATATTTGATAGCATGAATTTATAAATATTTATATTTAAAATAATATTATCTTTTACTTAATAATAACATTATAAAAATTTTATAAATTTATACTTACATAATTAAGTATGTTAAGAATATAATTATAAATATTTTAAATAATATGGATTTCTTTATCAATAAAATCAACAAATATGCAGTAGTTATTATCCAAATACAGACACAATAGAGGTAACTGAGATATATTGTTCTAATTTCTAAACTTATGTTTAGAAACCTAAACCTGAAAAAAAGGTAGCTTAGTTATGGTCTAAAATATATGAAAAGATAAAACATGAATGGCTAGAAACCTAAAACTTTTAAATTAAATAATACTGATTGAACTTTGTCATTTTTTAATAAAATAATAGTTTTCACAATACTTAAAATGCATTGCAATATGGACATGGATTTCAATGTCCTAAAAATACAAATATGTTTTAATAATATTAAACATTGTTTTTAATTGGATTTGATCAAAATTTAAAAAACTGTTATCAGTAAAAAATTGTTATTCATCAGGACAGTCTTAAAACAACACAATGAATACCTAGTTAAATTAATTGTTGACTCTTAAATTTAATTACAGCAGCGTTTTGATGTGTCACGAACTATTCAGTTTGCATTTCCAAAATTAAATAAACTTAAATATCTATACCTAAAAAAATACCTCACCAAATACTTATCAGTTATCACAAGGGTTCAGACTTGATGCACTTAAAAACATCAAGTCTTGAAAAAAAGCATGCCAAGCAAATATTATTAGACGAAATCATAATATTTAAATGTCCCGCCTAAAGCCTAAATTACTAAATACAATTTTTTAACACTACACAAATTATTATTAAAAATGTATTTTGTTTAAATAAAATTGTATGTATTATAAAAAAAATAATTTTGGGTAAATAATTTATGTAGCGTTAGAAATGTGTATTTAATAAGCTAAAGCCGTTAGAGGGTGGGAATTTAGACCCATCTACCATTTGATGTAATAATAATTGTTTGAAGTGCTTTTTTGATGTTTTTAAGAAATTATTTGTAAATTTAAAGTGAAATAAATCCTGAGCCCTAGCAATAACCCTCTAAAAATGTCTCATTTATAGCTTTTCTTCTAAATAAACTCCAGACATTTTATCCAGGCATCTGAAAAGAAAAAGGTGAAGGTACTGTAGTATTACTTTTTTCTTAAAAAACTTTCCTTCTCTATTATTCGTTGGCTGCCTTCTCAAATATCTTCTAAATTAATAATTCCAAATATCACAACTATATAGGCTATCTTATAAAGATATACCCCTTAAATATCTCTGGAGATATAAAGGGTATATCTTCATAGAAGAACTGATCCCTGAGGTTTTGTGGTTGACGCCTACTGCTGCTGGGCACTAGTTGCGGGCAGTCATGGTCCCAGAAATTAAAATCACAAAAATAAAGTAAAATTCAAAGATAATTAAGTAGGTATTCAATCACATGACTTTCGTATACTATGGATTACTACCCATATTGTTTCAATACTTATTTGTTTTTTATTTGCTCCTAAAGAATCTATTTACCTATATATATATATATATATATATTTATCTTATAAAACCCTTCATAATATGTAATATTATGGTCTAAACATAATTTTATCGAGAATCTATTTTCCTATATATGCAAGGTAATCCATTAAAATAGGTACACTCATTATCTCGGAAAGTATTAACTTTTTCAAAATTTGTCTATAATTTACATCTATAATCAGCTCTATAATTTACGTCTATAATCAGCTCTATAATTTTACATTTCTGCTATTTTTTGTCACCCTTATTTTTGAAGGTAAAATTTACCTGTGATTGATTAACACCGTATACAAAAATTCAGAGTTGATGGAAATCATAAATTTCACAATCAAAATTGATTTAAACTAATAGTCTAACTATGTATAGAATTTTTAATATAGGTTGCCAATTGAAATTCAAAAATAGGCAGACGTTTTATCTAAAAAATAATGACGATTAATATTTTTGAGCCCTTATTTCTTAAATTTTCAAAAAAATAAAAATTCTGAAAAAATCAATACTTTCTGAGATAATGAGTGTTTTCAGTTGAGAATCGCCCAGTATAAATATTAGGATGTTTTGATTTTTAACTTTTTATTTTTCTAATAAATAATGGAAATTGCTTCCTTGTGGTCTCAAACTTAATTTAAAAAACGTTAGAACTTGATCATTGCATATTTGTCCACTGCGATACAGTCAGTAACAACAGTCATGTTTTTCTAGTTATCCAGTAATATATCACTGAAATTTTTAAAAATTAATCTGTTTTGAATTTTATTTGAATGTTCTTCAGTTGAGATCAATGACCATGTCCATTGGTGGTCGTAAAACTTAGATTGGACACTCTAGAAAATATCGAAATCAAAATACAGTTTACACAATCAGATATGATGGTGTGAGGCAACCTATGGAAAATAAAATTTCAAAGAATTGTTATCGGTCATCAAAATATTTTGTCAACATTTTCAAAGAATTAACAAAATAATAGTAATAGGTAAATAATAAAATAATTATGACAATGAAAAATGTATTGTTTGATCTAAAAACAACAGTGGACAACATTAGTTATTTGTGTCTTCTGGTTGTTGTGTTCACTTGTCTGACCGAAGCACAGATATCTATATCATATGTTAAAATATCTAATTAGAACAGATATCTGAGGCCCGACCTTCCAAAGTGACAATCAGAATAAAAGTTTTTCTCCGTTCACCAACTCACTGGCATTTTTTGAAATTTCCATTGATTATTATAATGTTTTTGACCTAAATTATTTAAAAAAAAAAAAAGGTAAATTAACAGACCATATATATATACATAAATAATAAAACAGTTGAGTAAGTTTTAAAATTAAAAACTTCAATAAATAGTAACTATCTTATGAAAACTGTTTTCATTCAGTAATCGAGTAGATAGGTACTTTAAAGTTTAGAGTTATAAAACGATTAGTGAGGGGTAACCATACCTCATCTCGAGATATAATACCAGTAGGTAGATTACTTCGTTGATTTCTGTACAAGACGGTGGGAAGCAAAACGTTCTCTAACCCAACCGGGCTTAACAATCACGTTCATTTAGACTTGGCGATAAAACTTCAAGACAGATGTCGATATTAAGATCTAATATACAAAATCAACCACTTCATTCCATATTTCCATTACAAACTCTGAAAATCCGAAAAATCGTTATCAGTAAAGATTGTTATCATCCGATTTTGTAATTATTTGCAAATAATAAAATAATAATGATTGATAATAAAATAACTACAACAATTAAAATGTACTGTGTAAATACAACGGTAAACAATATCGCTATGTTCACAGGTCTGATCGAACCACAGATAGGTATCAAATATCTAATTAGGTACCTGTTTGTTGAACTTCCGAAGTGACGATTCAAATAGAAAAGCTTTCCTTCGATGACCACCTCACCTCCACCACGGTTAAAATGACCGCCGACGGGTTGGGTGTAAGTTTGAGAGTCTTGTCGTGACTTCGTTCGTTGCCGCAGCACTCCCGGGGCTCTGCTGTATACGTACGTAAAATCAATGATTTAACATAGTTGCCAGCTTTCGCATTTAGGTCATTCCACAGATTCTCTGAGCGCTGCTGTCTTTGGTGTCTTGCGCGGTCCGTTCGTATGTTATATTATACCTATACATAATATTTCCCTTGGGCCACGCCTTGACTCACCCAGCTCGTTTGTACAGAGTAGAATAACGTCGCGCAGTCGCTGCACTTCGTTATCGAGAATATTTATTTTTTGCTGCTGGGTGCTGCCTTATTCACTTTACTAAGGTCTTTTATCCATCGATCTTCGTCGTATATGTACCCCCGTATCACTGTGTAAAGAATAATTCGTTATAATATACTTTGCGCGAACTGTAGTTGGTCATTTCACGCGAACAGCGTACCTAAGTAAAGTGCTACCACAGGATGCAGCAACCGAGCAGGAAGCCATTGGAAAGCATTTTATACCTTCAGACCGGCCTGTCCGTGGCTGTACAACGCGAGACAATAAAGGTAAGTCACCATCATTATCTAGTTAGTATTTCAATTTTTGAATATGTACAGGCTCATTGTCATTTATATAATTATTCCATCTGACCACGGTGGTGTATCATTAGCGGTCAAGTGATTTTTGTTATGCGGGGAGGGGAGGAGGGATAATGCTGATTTTGTTAACAATTATTATAACTTATATTCTTATAATTTTTTTATAAATCTGTGTGTAACATAATAATATGCTTATATGTATATTAGATATAATCAATGTAAAAAAAAAAGGTGATTTGGGGGAGTGATATCCCTCGCATGTCCCCTCCCTCTCTTTTAGCCCGTCACTGGTGTATACCCATATGATACTTGAAGAGAAGCCCCACCCAGGATCAATATGCGCGAGAATTTGCGTCATTCTATCGCACGCCCCAGATATTTAGGTAGTTCTTAGTGTTTTCACACTATACAATTTCATTTATCAATGATTATTTTTTTATCCAAACCAAAAAATCCGAGAAATTATCTGATTCTGCTGATGGGTTTGTCGCTGTTATAGGCGGAAGTTGGAGAGGAAGTATAATTATACATAAAGATTAATTTAATTTATGTTTGTACACTGTACACTACAATAAATCACTGCCAACAATAAACGATTCTGAGCGAGTTCAGTCAAACACAGAGTTAGAGAGATATTCTGAAACTGATTTTTACAATTTACATCAACATTTTATCTTTGAACACTTTGAACTGAAACTGAAAAATCACATAACACTCTAAAATTACATCACTTATGTTACGCATGTAACAACTTATACCAACATACAATTTATTTTAATGCCCTATTCAAGTAAAATGGCCTCTACCTATATACCCAGTAAAAATCTCAAATTTTCATTTTCACAAATTAACAACAATATTAATTATTATTAATTTACTGTATTTTATAACTTATTAATATATTATTATGGAAATTGAAAATTTATTCCTCCCAAAAAAAAATTCCATATGCTGACAATCCGTCCTTGGTATTTATTTTTTTTCAACACGTTTTGAAATAATTTATGAAACATATAAGTAACAGAAAAAAAAAAATATCTTTTTGTCATAGTTTTAGTATCAACTTTTAAAAGATGAAATTTTCAATTATTTTTATAGTTTAAGTATTAATATTAAATATTGATTTTTTAATTATAATTTTATTTTTCAATTTTTTTAATTATTTTGACTAAAAGATATTTTAATATTATTATTTAAACTATCTATACTATTATATTGCATTTTTTAAATTTCAAAAATATAAATTTTTTAGGTCAGTATTACAATATTTTAGTGATAAGTGATTAGAAAAATGTAAGGAAAAAATAAATCTTATAAAAATATGCTTTAAAAAAATTTACTGGGGACAAATTATCCATATATGACATTTTTACATGGGGACTAATTGTCCTAGATCCCATTATTATATATTATTATTTATAATACTAAAAACAAAATTAAACAAATAATTTCATAGTATTAATTTTATAAAATATATATATATATATTTTTGTAAAATTTAATTTATAATAATAATAACAATACAAATGTTTTTAATTGATTTTATTGAAGCAAATTTATCCATGCTATTATTAATACTTAAGTATTAAGAGTTAAAAAAAAAAAAAAAAAAAATTAAACAGAAAAATACAAAAATCACACTAAAATAATACATCCAATACTTGCATTCTTAAAGTTACATTCAGGATCTATAAGAGCTTAATAAGTAATTATAGGTGATGTTGTATATTGATTTAAAATTTATTTTGTTAACAAAATAATATATATACTTAGTACCAACTATTATTGATTAAATTTATTATAAGTACTTAATTTTATGGTAGATGTATAAAACAAATTAATAAAATACATTTTTTGTTACAGGAGATAGTTTATCCTTCAAATCGTATGTATGAACCTTCAATTTTGAGTGATCCAGCTTCTAAGATTAGAATTCGATGGGATTTAACCATTTTGGGAAACCGCTTAAAAACATTTAGAAAAGGCTGGAAAATAGACTTTATTTCATCAGCTGAAATGGCTAATGCAGGTTTTTACTATACTGGAACACAAGATCTCGTGAAATGTGTGTACTGTCCAAAAGCTTTTCAATATTGGAAACCAGGCGATATTCCTCAAGTTTTGCATAAACGTGAATCTCCAGATTGCCCATTTTTCAAAGATAGCCAAGGTACATAATTATAACATATATATATACTATATTTATATATCAGTGGTGTTTTTTAAGGAAGGGATGTGGGTTATAAACTATACCTCAAAGAGGTTTTTAGAATCAGTAGCGCAACCAGAATATTTTTAAGACCCCTTTCTCCTCCTCTTTGGAAGGGCTTCCAGAGTTCTTTAAAGAGTAGCTCTTTCACTGAAAATTGATGTTTACAGGTTTTTAATCACTTAATAAAATATTAAAAAATAAATATAAATGATTTGACAAAGGTGGAAATCAAAAAATAGAATTATTTTAACATTATTAGTATGAAAAATTGAAACTAAAAAAAAAGAGCTGATACTGAGGACAGGTGCAGCTACTGTAGTAGGTGGGAAGTGTTGTATGTGGGTAGTTGGAAAAGTAGGATACATAAAATTATTTAATTTATATCTACACAGAGATAATTCATTAACCATTAATAAATCATTGATAATGAAAAACTCAGTCAGATATTTTTTGAAATGTCATAATTTTAAAAATTTCCGTCAAAATTTGATCTTAAAACAATTATGAAAAAAAAAACTAATGCATTAAACTCAAATTTGTCTTTTAGACCAATATGTAAAACTTATAATGTACATTATATTAAATTTTCAAGTATGTGTCTTATGTCATTTAATTTTAATAACAGATGCCTACAAAATATATGTACACATAAAACACAAAAAATATCAAATATCTTAAATAGCTAGAATATTTTGAAAATTTTACCACTTCTACAAAAGGTCAATATAAGTATTTAGTGATAACAATAAGTTTCTACAATAATTTTTAATCGAATAACAACAAAGAAATATTTCTTATGGTTTTTCATAATAAAATTGATCAGCTATAGATTGTGGTTTAAATTCTACTTCCGTGTAGGGGGGGATTTTGAAACATATCACTAATCTCTAGTGACTAGTAAGAGTCAAGAAATGTATTATTATTATTATTATTGTTATTGTTGTTATAATTATTATTTATACATAATTAGTACTACAATAGTATTTATTTTTTCTATTTAATAAAATAGACATCATAGTAAAATTAATAGATACCTCTACAGGCTCTGAATCTAATGCATCCACCATCTTTGATATTAAATAAAACCCATTTTTGTATAAAAATTATTTTTCTATTATTATTATTATTGTTAAGAAAAAAGGTTTTGCCTTGAAATCCGAACCCTATTTATTAGTTGGTTCAATTAATATGAGTAATGAAAGTATTTTAATTTTGTACATTATTAATTTAGCTACAAATTTAATATAATAATTGAAATTTCACAGTTTTAGGAAGAAATATTTAGCTCGTAGGAGTGGTAGCTGTCCCATCTGCCCCGCGTGCGCATACCTATGATGGGGAGGGAGAGTGAAATAATTTAATTTAATATTAATGACATACTTTGAACAATTGGTGGACCACTGTTGTAGATATGAAGTTGGGAGAAGTTAAAAAGGTATATGACATAGAGGGAAATTTAATATATATCTGTAATCAAAATTTAATAATTGCTAACGAAAAAGGATTCTGAGTGGAGTTCTGTTAATAATATTGTTTTTTCAACAATATATGTTATATTATAGTAAAATAAATATACAATGAACACAATGAATTACATAATAAACACATTGTTTCGTGTAATTAGTAAACATATTTTCATATTATACTATTTTATATTTTAAATTAATCTATAATAGTCACTATGAATATTTGTTCTACATAATTTTTACTAAAGCAATTTTCGTCAAAACAATTTTACCGAAATGTAAGACTTTCTGTTTAATTTTTAAGCATTTCGGTTTTGTCTTAACAGTTTTACTCACATACCAAATAAAAATTACTCATAAAATTAAAGTGTCGATTAATAGCTTAACAGCGTGAAAATAGGCAAACATAAGTTTTTTGCCCAAATTTCAGGTCTCTATGATTATTTAAACTAAACAAATAACACCGTTGAAAATAATAAGAAGTATTATTACATATCGGGGGAAGATTGCTGGTAAAAAAATGTTGTCATAGTTTTTAAAAAAAAAATAAATAATAATAATAAATATCTTTGTAAAATCAATACATTCTTTGCTACGCTCAAAATCTAAAAAATTATATCAAATAATATATTGGTTATATCTATTATATCTACCAATGATTTTGCCAAATGCCAATATAAGGGGGGGAGGGTGTGTTCGCCCCATCACCCCACCTCAGGAACGCACCTGCAACTGCTGTAGTGATAAGAAACAATTTTCATGAAAAATGTAACTTATTATAAAATAGTTAATAATAGAATATCAAATTGTTAATGGGTTACGTAAAGAAAATTTTAAGAAAAATATTGAAAATAAATGTCCTAGAATAATGAAGACTGGTGCAGTCGTTGTTATAAGTAATTTAATGTATATCTGTAAGTAATGATAAACCATTGCTGACGAAAAAATGATTCTGAGCGCAGGTGAGTTGATAGCATCACTATGCTTTGTCAACAATGTATATGTCATATTATAGTAAAATAATTAAATAGGCATTATTTATTTGTTTTTTATTGTACTGATTTTACCTTTTTTCCCGCGTTTTTCCCGGTTTTTCTCATTTTTCTGGGAAAACTTGAAGAGAATATCGAAACATGGCCTCCCTATAGTATCTCTCCAGTCAGATAGCCTTTTAAAAAAGTGTAAAAAGTAAAAAAATTGCTGGTAAAAAAATTGACTACAGAAAAAAAATCTTAATTTTTTACTAATATATGTAGTACATTTTCCCGTTTTTCACGAATTTTTCAACTCATTGGGAAAACTCCTGGGGAAATAGAAATATGAACTCCTTAAAGTACCTCTCCAATCAGATTTCCTTTTAGAAAAATTGCTATCATTTTAAATCGGGTCAAAATTAGTGGTAGAAAAGTTTTACGCAGAAAAAAAAAAATCACATTATTAATATTTTTTTATTAATACCTACCATTAAGTACATTTTCTGTTTTACCGACATTTTATCACAGTTTTTCTCAGATATTATGAAAACCGCTTGAAAAATCAAAAAATGACTTCTCTAAATTATCATGGAGATAAAATTTTCTTTCAGAAAATAAGTTACACTTGATACATCAGAGCAAGATTTCTGGTAGAAAAGTTTGTACAACAAATCGATGGGTAAAGTCCAAGGGGGTGATAGCTTGGGTTTCTAAATACACCCAAAATGCATTTGTTTTTTCCTTGTTTAGGTAAAAAGGGGAAAAAACCGAAAACATTTTTTTGTCACACTGGTTTGAATTCTGAACCCCTAGGATGATAATAAACGTAAATAACCATTAGATCACAACAAATATTCTTTATGAAGGACAATATAGAGTAATTTAATATAACATATAATATCCCTATAATATCAGAACTTTAAAAATCTATAATTTCGAAACTTAGTCAGTCCGCTCAATTCTGACTTCACCATCGTTATAAAATCAGCAATACATATTTGTTCAAACACAAAATTTGGAACATTATACCTAGTTTACATTCAGCCGCAGCCATTGCTACTCGCGCTGCTGCATTTACTCCTCAAAATACTTCTGTGACAGCAGTGAGTGTTTACATTACAAAAAAATATGTATATATTTCATTTTTATTTTTCCCAATTATATTATCTATAGTTACTACATAGTATTATGTTACAATTCAACAGTGATTGTGCCACATTATGTATTGTGTTCTTTGAAAAAATATTTAGAGTAATCAACATATTATGTATTGCACAATTTAAAAAAAAAAAAAAATATTTTATTAGAGGTTNAGATGTTTCTAAATTTAAAGATGTTTCTAAATTTAACAGGTTTATTATAAGTTGTACATAGAGGCCAAACACAAATAATTGATTGTAATGTATTTTTTTTTTTACCGAGTTATATATAAAATTAATATTTCAATAATTTGTATGAGCAAATACTTATTTTAAATTGTTTACTTTAATATAATTTATACCTTTAAAGTAATAGTAAATATAATTGATTATTATAGTTTACATAATTGTAATATAAATTATTAGTGATTGGTATTATAATATTTTGACTGCAAAAAATATTAAAACATTGACATAGGGGAGATGGTTGAGGGTTAAATACCCCCCCCACAGATCAAACAGATATGTTTCTAAATTTAACAGATTTATTATAAGTTGTACATAGAGGCCAAACACAAATAATTGATTGTAATGTATTTTTTTTTTTTTTTATGAGTTTTAAAATAAAATTACACTTTATTAAAAACTTTGTCAACTGTATATATTTTTAATTTTCAAATAAAGTTCATTATATATATTAAATAAATTATATTCATCTATATTCAACCAAACTCGCTTAGAATCATATCTGTTTGCTTGCAGTGATTTATGGTTGGATACATTACCTTTATAAACTAATCATTTTTTAAAATTATTTACTATTAGAACATTTGTGGTTTCCATAGATGTGTATTTATTATAAAATACTTAATATAATATTATTACCATCAATTATTTCTAATAAACGTATTTAAATATTATACAAATAGTAAATATCAAATTATCACCTACAATGTTTTGAAATGATTGAATTCCATTCAATATATTTTCAGTTTGTTCATTATTTTCAGTTAGCAACTTAATGATTTGGTCTTCACCAAGATCAGCATTATCTTCTATACTACATGTTTCACTGAATTTAAATTATTTCCCACATTACTACACATTTAATTTCATTGCCATAAATGGTGTAGAGCAATTAGTTAACTTAAATTTAAATGCATGCATGAATATATTTAATTTAATTTGTTAATTTTCATTAAACAATTTGATTAAAGGATTAATTTATAACATATATATTTACCTGCAAACAGAGCTGTCATTCCCATTCAACAAATGAACAACTGATTCGTTATTTAACTGTTATAATTCTGAAAAATCTTTTTCAATGAAGTTCACTGATTTTAACATATTAGCTCCATTGTCTAATGTTATGGTATAAATCTGATCAGATTCAATATTATATTTTTTTTAAGACATTTAAAATAACTTCTTTTAAATGTAAACCTAAAATATAATTACATTAGCTATTTATTTGTTTTATTTAAAAACTATTTTCATTAAACTAAAATACTATAGTACAACCTTATATTTAATTTATACCTGTATGTAATTATGTAAGCTTAACTAAGCCAAGAGCTCTGAGGTTGAAATAATTATCCACAGTATATTGTATATTAATTTCCAAAAATGATTGATTTAGTCGTATCACAGCAACCAGTTTCACGGCAGCGTTAGTGCGAGGAGCATGATCAGCGCGAGTGACGTGTTTACATACTCGCGCTGCCCATTTTTATGCTCACTTCCCTGCTCACTGCCACGGGATTGGGCTGTATGTAAACTAGTTATTAGATTTTTTTGACATAATTTTTTTCTTAAAAAATGATTTTCATCAAAATTTGATATTAAAATTCCTTTATATAAAAAAAAATACTGAAATAAACTCAATTTTTTTAATTTTATAGGAGAGTTATTTGTGTATTGAAGTCGTTTTGGTATTTTTTTGGATGCGGCTAGTGTCGTCAAGTGGTTCTAATAAATATATTTTAGCATGTAAATTAATATTTTTTCAAAATTGTCATTAGTTCTGAATGATAGTAATATTTTCTTCAATGTATTCGCAGCGTTAATTGAACCAGATGCACACAATTTAGGATTTTCTAACACTTTTACTAATTGTTCTACAGGACTAAAGATATGTATTGGAATAGTAAAAAAAAAAAAAAAACATTGTTTTAAATTTTTTTTTATTTTTTCACATATCCTCTAGTGTTGATCTTTTATTATCTGCTATACAAACACTCCCTGAAAGTATTTTATCTAATGTTTTTTTCATTCTGTTATAGTTATCTAAAAATCTTAAACTTTTAACTCTTAAAGACCATCTAGTTGGACAAAATGTAAGTAGATTTTTTTTTATACTGCCAATATCAGAGGAATTGTAACATGGCAATGTTGTTCATGTACTGTAATTAGTAGTATGAAACTATGAAATAACAGTCTTAATTAGTATATGATTTAAAAATTCGAATTCACTTTTATTTAAATTAAATTTAACAATCAATTATAAGTGCAATGTCCATACTATAATATTAATATATTTTCTACAAGTAGGTAATCATTATATTAAATTATTTTAATTAAATCCAGTTTTGGTGCCTATAACATATTTCGTACTATGGTCTTCATTCATTAACAGCATAAGTTGTTGAAATATATTTTTGTAGGAAATAAAAAATTAATATCTAAAAATTAAAATTTATTATCTATTCAACAATAATATTGTTTTGTTAACTCGAAACCAGTTTGATTTATATTGATAGTTGATATATTACTAATATTATTATTTATAACAATTTATTTTACTGGGCATCTACCCATCTTAGTTGTAATTAATCTTAATTACAAATAATAAAACAAATTTACTTGAAACTTAAAAGTATGTCTTAAACTTAACTCGTTTAGGTATAAGTTCCTGAATTTTCTCCAGTGTTTTCGGTTTGAAATAGTTTTTGATATTTTTTGGGTATTGAGAACAGCTATTGCAGGTACGTGTAACGTGTTTAAACAATTAAACGTAGTAAATATTACAATATTGAATATATTATATAATATCAATATTAACTGTAAACTGTTACAAATTATTAATTATACATTTATACAGTATTACACGACAGCGTACTCACTTAATAGTCGTAATCCGTAATCACTAATCGCCATTCGGAACCTAATCATAAACGATGTAAACTGTAAAAACCTATAAATAGTTTAATGATATTGGAATAATAAACAATATGGTATGTTATAAGAAAACTATCCGGAACAGGTAGAATTTTCCAATATAATTTGATAAAGCAAAAGCACTCCGACAGAAAATGTCTATACGTATTATTCAATATATTTTTATATATTAATATTATAATAATAAATAATAAATCGATAATAATAACAATAATATTATTACGCACTTTCATGAAAATGAGACTAATTCTGAATACGTTTAGTATAAACTATACATAATTTACGTTTGTGTGCTCTTAAATTTTAATGTTGTAGGGGGAGAAGTTAAAGTATACTTTTCCCCCCCTTGGATTATATCTGAGGGTTCAATTGCCCCCTCTGGCCCCCTCTCCGACGCCACTGAATATGGCTTAAATGTTTTGAACATTTTACCACGTCTAGAAAAGGTAAATGTTAGTTTTAAGTCCATATAGTCTCTACGAATATTAAAAGAATTACAATAAATACCAAAATTGAAAAATAATAAAAGCATTATTCGTAAATTTCCTGTTTTTATTACGTTTAATCCTAGTTTTTCCCAGATATTATGAAAACCGCTTAGAAACTAAAAAAATGACCTCCCAAAAGTACCGTCTGGACAACATTCCATTTCTGAAATGGTGCCACGCGTATATATTTGAACAAGATTTATGGTAGAATTTTTGTATATAGTATATATATTATCTTATATCTTAGTAAAACCAATACATTTTCACTACGCTCAGAATATAAAAATTAAATTAAATTGAATAAAAAATATTCAAATAAATTTAGAAATTGACCTGTGTTTTTATCATAAGTATGTAATTATGAAATTTAAATTAAGCTGGCGTAAAACATATTTTTCACGTGAACATGAAAATTCAGTGGCGGCTCATGCAAGGATGCGATGACACTCCCTACATACATTTTAAAGTATAATGTAATTTATAACTATTATCAATTCGGTATACTTATAGTGAATAATAATAGTCAGGCACGTAGCCAGACATTTATCCTGTTTGGCTCCTTATTGTTTTTTGAACCCTCTACCACCTCTTTCCTTATCATACAATAAACACAGGGAGATTTTATTTATCATGAACTAGTCTATATTTTGAAAAATATTACATTTTTTGAAAATATTTTGCTTACAAAATTCCAAGTCATTACAAAACAACATTAAAAAAAAAATATGTTTTTTATTATTATTTTTTTCTAAGTTTTTTACTTTTTGAATGACAACATACATTTTTAATTTCATATTCCGAAGCAAAATATTTTTCGATTATATCTATACATAAAAATCGAATTTCGGACGAATAAGTTCTTATTTTATGGCATTTTACACTAATGATACTAAGCAAAAAGCTGGACAATTATATTTTAGAGCATTTTAGTAATTTCAGTACCTTACTTTATCAAAAATAAATATAATATTAAATAATAAAATAAACAAAATTCACAAACAATTAATAATCATAAAAAAACTTAACAAGAGAGCGAGATAAAATAATAAGGTGGATAAAATTTTTCCCCTTCCCTTTTAGTCAAAAATAACGAGAGGGTAAAATTCGCCTGTTACCGAATATTTGCGATTTTTTTGGCTTGCGAAATTTAACCCCCCCCCCTCCACCCACTCAAGGTAAAAATTGTCTGAGCTAAAATTCAACTGTGACACCGGAATGTAAAGTTGCCGTAAATATTAATACATTTTAATCTTTGGGTTTTTCATAATTATTATGAAAACTACTTAGAATATCAAAAACAACTTTTTTTTTCAGTGACTATATATTAAAAAGAACCTAATTGATCTTTGTTATTATTTGATTGGAGCAATATTTCTGGTATAAAACCTATTTAATTAAAATTAAACCAATGAAATCGGTAATGCCGTGGTGTGACGTAAATATTTGACGTTTTTCTCAATTATTTTGAAAACCCTTTGAAAAATCAAAAACGACTTCTAATAAATCAACTAGAGAAATCTCTATCCCGGAAAAGATAATATTTTTTTTAATCAGAGCAAGATTTCTGGTAGAAAAGTTGTTAACAGACAGAAAAAATAAAAATATACACATTGTAAAACCAAGACTCCTTACTACGCTCTTAATCTAAAAAAAAGATGTATACAAACTCCAGCGATAATTGATAAATAGTATGATACTTAATTGTGAAATGAAATCTAAAAGACCTTTTAAACTGCTTAAATTATTAATTACTTCATCAGGTGTTACATGTTGTAGATTGAATGTAGGACGAAAAAGAAAAAGGCTCGATAAACGTATATGATCACATCACTGTAGTAATGAACGGACGACAACAAAAACATAAAATTATAAGTTAGACAAGTAGATATTAGAAAACAAACAGTGATAACAAATTTATTGTAAATTGATATGGGAATTATAACAATCCTTCCCAATTTGTAATATATATAATAAATAATATAAAAAAGTATCCTAGGTTAATGCGGACGGGTGGCATATAAGCAAAGCGTACATTGTTAGAGATATTATGGAAATCCCGTTTTCCGATTGGCTCTAATCACAACAAAATAAAAATTGCATTATCAGTTATGATTTTTAAATTTTTCAGTTTGTAAAAATTAAAAAGTGTTTCGTTTTATTTATAAACCGTTCATATGATTATTATTAAAATACCATTCATATTAGATCGAAAAATCATGAATGGAAGAAATAATTTTTTTAGGTACATGGTAAATTAATATTACATTATTATTTCAAGATAAAATATTGTTTCATAATTAAATACATTATTCAATAAACTGTATAAAAAATTTAAACATGAAAAATACTCATTAGATGAAAATAAATAAATTACAAAAGGTGAGATAAGTATACATATCATGCAAAGGTACATAATTATTTTTGGCCTCACAATTTATTATGTATGTATAAATCACAATACTTTGCTTTCATTGTCTGTTAAAAAAAAAAAAAGTTGTATTATAATTTAATGTTTCTGATCAATTTTTAGGTAAAATTAGGTAAAATAATTATCGTGTAGGTACTTAAATAAAAAAAAATTTAAATATAAATTAAAAATTCATATCTTGATAATTTAATAAAGTTTATAATAAAATAATATAAAAAACACAAAAAAAAAATGTTTACTAACTGATAATGAAATTAGTTATCTCATTGGGATTAGAGCCAATCAGTGAACAGGATTTCCATTAGGTTCTCTAACATTGTACATTTTGCTTATATGCGGTCCGCGTGCAGCAACTGTTATAAGGTGAGACGTTGGGAAGGTAGTAAAAGGGTAATTGAATGTATATCTGTACGCAACGATTAACCATTGCTAACGAAAAAACGATTCTGAGAGAAGTTCAGTTGATAGAGTTCGGTTGATAATGTTGCTATGTCAATAATTTATCTGTTGTATTATTATGATAAAATTACATATTCATTATATATTTTCTTTAGTAATATTTGTTTAATATTGTATTGTATAATATATTCCCGGTTTTTCGCATCTATTGGGAAAATTCCTAGAAAAATCGAAAAATGACTTCCCCAAATTATCACCTCAATCATATTTGATTTCAGAAAAAGTGTTATCATTGTAAATCGGAGCTTAATTGCTGGTAGAAAAGTTGTTGACAAGAAAAAAAGGGCCGTAATATTTTTAGATTCTGAGTGAAATGAAGAAGCCTATGGTTTTACAAAAATGTTTAATTTCTTTTATAGTTTTTTTTTTTTATGTGAACATTTTTTTCCAGAAAGCTTACTCCAATGTAACCCTTATCTGAAAGAAAATTAACGTCATTTTTGATTTTTCTGGTAGCTTTTCCAATGAGAGGGAAAAAGTGAAAAAAAAAACGGGAAAATGTATGAAATATATTAGTAAAATATTATGATTTTTTTTTCTGTGGATAACTTTTCTACCGGCAATTTTACTCCGATTTACAATGACAGAATTTTCTGAAAGGAAATCGGATTGGGAAGTTACTTTAGAAGGTCATTTTTTTTTTATTTCCCCAAGAATTTTTTCCGCAAATATGAAAAATTCGGAAAAACATGAGAAAAACGTAAGAAAAATGGGAAAATCGGTACAATATTAAACAAATATTATTAAATAAAATATATAACGCCTAGTTAATTTTTTCACCATAATATGACATATATATTGTTGACAAAATATCACTATCAACTGTACTCCGCTTAGAGATGTTTTTTCGTTAGCAATGATTTATCGTTGCTACAGATATACTTTAAATTCCCTTCTGTATCCTACACTCAACTTTCCACCTACAACAGTGGCTGCGCCCATTCCTATTATATTAGGAAAGATTTTAAACTTTAATACATACATTTCGTACATTTTCCCGGTTTCTCTCATTTATTGAGAAAAATCTTGAGAAAATAAAAAAATTACATTATTAAAGTACCACTCCAATCAGGTTTCCTTTCAAAAAAAGTACGAAACTTGTAAATCGGAGCAAGATTTCTAGTAGAAAAGTTATTCACAGATAAAAAAAAAATAAATACATATTATTGTTAAACCAATACATTCCTCGTTCCAATCGGAATCTAAGAAAAGTATCAATATATGCATACGAGTAATACATTTCTAAATAGCAATCAATAATGAAACAAGAAAAATAATTTAAATATTTTAACTAATTATAAGTTGCACTCAAATTCTAATCCAATTGAGTAAAATAAAAATATAAACGAGGTGATTAATTATTATCCATGACTAATCCTAAATAATTTTTCATACATTTTTATTGATTTTTTTTAATGTAGTTAAAAATCATCAGGACAATGAGAAAAATATTTAAAAAAATATTCAAGTTAAACTTCCCTTTAAAATTGACTTAAGTTAATTTGTGCCAAATATGGCACAACGCGCACTAATTGTATATTTGTGTCATATATGGCCACCATGCATAAAATAGTACAATTTTTATGTGTGCCATATTCGGCCTTTATACATGAAACATTAAAATTTTTACTTATGCTATTTCAGGGAACATGTACCCAAAATATATTTTTATCATTATTGATACTAAAGCAATAGTCTAAGTGACACTTATACATTTTCAAATTTATTTTTCACAAATAACTTAACACATGTTATAAGTATATTTATTAAACAGTCTAATGTTTTTTTATATAACAAATTAAATTTTCAGTATACAAATTTAAAATATTATCTGAAATTAATTTAACATTCTGAAGTTGGTAGTTAAATTTTGATATTTTCAAAAAATTCAAAAGATTCTTTTTGAATTTAAAATGAAACTAGTGATAATAAACTGTATATATGTTGTGACATATTATGTGGTACACAACAACATTATATTATTATATTTCTTGTATCAGTCGCGTATAATCCCCCCCCCTCTAAATTATTTTCAATATACGCCATTGCCTCGTTTGCATGGTGTGCCATATTTGGCATATAATAACAATATAATATTTTATGCCAATTGCATCCATATTTGGTACACAATAAGTTAATGATAAATTTAAAAAAGTACTATACTTAGAAATCTTTAACTACTTTTAAATGATTTCTTTTTTTTGGATCAGTAGTGTAAATGTTTGTAATGATAACATGAAATTAGTGGAAATCACTCTATACAATACTAATGTTTTCAGCTGATTATTTTTCTTCTGTAGTTAATAATTTTATCGCTAGATAGATGTACCTTATGTCAAAATTGTTCGCTTTTTTGTGCCGAATCTGGCTATCTATATGTAATAATATTGTAACATTATTTTCAAAGACAGAAACTAAGAAAAGCTAATTCGTGCCATAAATGGCACAATATGCATGAAGGGGAAAAATTGACGTCGGTAAAGAATTTATGAGTATATCAGTTTTTTGTTCAAATTAGTATTTGTGTAGTACCTCTAAATTGTCGGCATGAGTATTTTCTTGCACAAAATAATATTTTATATCTATATATTTTTAACGCTGGTGTGTTCTAGGTTCCCGAAATATGTTGATGATAGATAAGTTGTTTTCAAAAATAGTGGTTGGTTTTGACAATCTTATACCCATTATCAATAAAAAAAAACCCTCTAAGCTAAACACATTCAATTGTAACTGACGCAGAGTGATCTAAATCGTAATTAAGCTTCCCTAAATTAATTGCCCTTAAATTTTAACTGTATGATAGTATGATATATCAAATCTATTATTTTTGAGGACGATTAACCCAAATTTCGTATTCGTTTTTTAATTGACCATTTAATTTAGACATTTTATAAAACTGAGTTAGGTAGTAAAAGTTGATAGAAAATTTCCAATTTATAAAATTAGATATTGATAGTAAAATTATATATTTTACACTTTACACTTTGATATTTGTCAGTTACTAATTCCCACAAAATAATATAATATTATATTGTGCACGTTCAAAATAAATAGACAAAAAGTAATAATAATACCACAAAATAATATAGACAACATAAAAATATAATATTGCGACTAATAATGTGTTATATGTAGTGGATAGTGCGGAAATTACAAATCCAGAGTAAAAGAAAAAAAAATATAACGCTGTATAAATTTAAAGAGTATAATATCTTATATAACCAACATTTGTGGAAATACTGGTCGACATTTACACTGTACAAATGACTAAACGTGAAAAATTGAACAATGCGCGTTAAGGTGTCCCCCACTGGCATACAGCTAGGTGCGTCCCTGAGAAGAGGGGACGATTGACTTCCCCTCATAAGCCATGTGGTGTTCTCTTTTGTTATTCAAAATATCCAAAATTCTTAAGTGCAAATAAGTACAAATGCAACTGGTTCCAAATGCCATAAAGATGATTGATAATAAAGATAATCTTGAAAATACTTTGATTGAAACATGAATTAAACACTTTTCATTTATAAATTGTAATATAGTATAATATATTAATTATTTATCTATATAATATTTATAGATAAGTAAAACTTCTGTTTAGTTCAATAAATAACACATTTTAAAATTATTTTATTAAACTAAAACTTGTATATCAATAAAAGAGACATATTGTATTAATTATTGTCAATAACCAGTCATTAATTTGTATTAAAAAGCAATTGGTAAGTAGTATAAAGAAAATAATTATAAACATTGAATATTTTTTTATCATAGTGCAAAATAGTACTAAGTATACAGTACCTATATACCACCAGTTCATCATATTATGAACAAATACATTTTATTTCGGATTGATTTTATTTTTTGCGTCTTATATACGATATCATATGATTTTACAATGTGCTTTTATGAATTTTCCTAGTGTGATATAAATTATAACAATTTGAAGAAAAATAAAGCCATGGGGGTGACTGTCCCATTCGCCCCCTCCCCGAGGACGCCCCTGCCTACTATATATATTCAATGTCAATATTATATTATTTAATCAATGTCATCAATCTATAATTTGCATAAAGGTACGGTTTCCAAGGCGCGGCTAGCCGCGGCGGCCGATCGCCGTGACCAGCCGTCACGATCAGCCGCCGAAGTCTGACTGGTTCCCTAGACATACAAATCGCCGCGGCTCTAAACATAATTTCATTATTTGTTTAGTCCTACTTCTCATTATGTTGTGTTAAGACGTATATTTAAAGTGTTAAACCATGTCCGATTTATTGTGCATTTTCAATATTAACAAAATTATCATTGATTTGCTTCAAGAAAAGGAGGAAGAAGATAATTTATTTTTACGTACTTATTTAAATCCAAATAAAAGGAAACCAACTAACGTTTTATTTAAAAATCATGTGTTTGAAGGTTATTTTGAAATTTTATTATATTATAATACTAAAATATTATTATATGTTCAATATTATAATTATTATTCAATACTACAATAATTATTATAATGCAATACTAGAATATTAATTAAATTATGGAAATGTATACTATATGTCGATATACTACTATCAGCGACTGCAAAAGTTTTAACACAAACACTATTTTCGACTAGAGCCGCCGGCCGCGGCGGCTCTAGTTCAGTCGCGAGCCGCAGCCGCGCATTGGAAATTAATCTATAGGTACTACGTGTAAACAATGTTCATGCAAAAGCCGCGCCTTGGAAACCGTACCTTAACACACATTCTAAAACAACGTGTTCTGTTTGTATTTGATAAAACTGATTTTCTTACAAAATATGTTTTCAGTCAATTATTTTTCGAAAAAAAACGTTTCTGATAAACTATTTTTCTAGTATTTTATTTTCGTATGCATTTTTTTGATAAATACTTTTTTATTCAAATATTTTTTTTGCTCGAATAATATTTGTGAACATATTTTCGAATAAAATAAAAGCCACCGAAGATGGTGGTAATCGCTTACAACGATAACTTCTCGATCTGAGTCCATACAATTTTTCTTTATTAGACATTTTCGTTATCAAGATAGTCGAACTGACCCGAATCTTGAATTAATTATTATTTCTATCGAACATTATTATTCTTATTATAAAATGATACCGTCCAAGGGAGTGGGGGGGGTGGTCCAGACTCCAGACCCGGGTTCCCCTCTTCTGATTGCGCCACTGTCTAGATTCCAGACCTTTTTAAATTTAATGCAATTTTTAGTTACCTAATCAATATGAAATGCAAAACACCAAATGTAAAATATGTCACATTATCAATATTTGTTTATTATTATTAAGTTAGGTCGTTAATGTTATGTGCTAATCAAATTGTGTGATATAGTTAATATGGTATATTTTTCTTGATATTTTTAATACATAATCATATTACCATCCCCCAAACTAGTTATATCACTGATGTAAATATATTTTAATATATGGTATAATAATTTTGTTATTTAATTTTTCATCAGGTGTAAAACCAAACCTGGATAAAGAAGTTGATAGGTTTCAAAATTTCCTATATGCTATTGGTGTTAAGCAGTTATTTTCGGTGCTCGAAAAAAATAAGTCACTGACTACTTTTGAAAGTCGCTTGAATACATTCGAAGACTGCACAACATATACAGGACATGACATTTTTAATCTTTGTAAAGCAGGATTTTATTTTATGGGTAAATATAATATTATATAATACATTTGTAATATTTTAAGATTCTATTAATATTATAAGAATATTGAATAAGAATGTTGTTATTAATTTGTTTACTTTATGTTGTTTTTAATCTTCAAGAGGGCGATGAATCTGAAGATAAGCTGCTTTGTTTCTGCTGTAACCAAGTTCTTCCCTCTTGGAAAAACAATGAAAATCCTTGGATAAGACACTCACATATATCTCCTAATTGTAGTTTTATACAGCTTACTATGGGTAGACAATATGTGAAAAGAAATTCTGAAGCTATGCTGGCATTGGGGCATGTTATGTTGGATGTGAAACCTAAGGTTAGTATTTCACTAATAGTTTTAGTCGTTTAAAACAGATTAATCCAAAAATCAATTTAATAGGTAATCTATGGGGTAAAATATTTATAAAATCCCACAAGTAATAATAATAAGAAAAAAAAAATCTTATTCAAAAATGTTACTGCCATTCTAAATAATCTAATATTAATTAAATGTTTATAAAATTATCATAATATTTTTTTTTATAAATTTTTCTGTAAAAATATTGTAAGATTAGTTCGTGTTTTTAATTTGTAAATTTGTAAGTTATTTTTGTGAGTATATTAATTTCTAATTATTAATTATTCTTATTACAATTGTGTATTGTTGTTTTATAGATACCTTTCACTAACGGGAACAATAATACAACTAATTCGACAAAGAGGTTTGTTTAATACATATTCTATTGATACTGATAAAATTGTTTTTATTACAAAAATGATTACAAAATAAATATTGGTTGATCTTGGGACGGAAGAAAAATAAATTTAAATGGTGTTCTAAACAAGATATGTATGTCACCACAAACTATCGTGGTGAATAGCGCGCTATATGACCTACATACATACCAAATACTCCAATCATATTTTACCACAAGCATCTACAGAGAGAAACCGCCGAATGGTTGCAAGATGGCAGCCTTAAGCTCTTATCATATTTTTATCATCTTATGTCTTATCTTCACAAACATTTATCACTATCTCATGAGATTATCAAATATCAATATTATTAATATATAAGTAAATGAAAACATGTTATTATTGTTAATACTCGTATATAACTTTATATATATATATTCATATTTTTTTGGTGTATGCCAAAAGATAGCATGCATTGCGACCCCCCTCCCCCTAATTAATAATATTACCACCTATAACTGTGACTGGCGACTTCTATCGATTTGAAGAAATGTTGAAATATAATATGTTATATTATTATTTCCACATTAAATCATTAAAACCTAGGTATATATTTTAAAAGAGTTAGCCATTTCTAGGAAAGTAGAGGTTATAGGTATTCATGTCGTTTATTCTAAGTAGGCAGTCCTGATAAGAACCGTTTATTTTATTGTGATATAAACCTTTTTTTTTACTGTCTAGTCTTGATCAATCCACTATATCTTAGCCTGTGATAGATATGCAAATAAATGTATAATATGGCTCATTGGAATATTTGGTGCATATTTTGGTCATACTGCGCGCTATATACTACGATAGTTTGTGGTGATACATATACCTTGTTTCGTATATTCTCATTTCAATGTGATACGAAATAGTTTTTTCGTTTATTAATATTTTATACTCTATTCACCGTAAGTTAACCCACAAAGTCCATCCGTAAGTCGACGAAAACTCCTCGAAAAAAATCCTCTGTTTGCTGCACGGTCGGGTAGCAGCCTACTGCCTACTACAATGAGCAACAATGAACCGCCGACCAATCATAGACCACAGTATACATGCGTGTAAACGGATCAACTTTTAGTGGACAGAGTATAGTGTTGATAATACATCAAAATCCACTTTTTGAAATTCTCATTAATATTCGAGAAAATGACAACAATCTGGTTCATTAGGTTAAAAAAGATTGAAAGATTAAAAATAAGGAAGTCATTGTCAAATGTTTTTATTTATATTTGTTATTATTAAGTTTTTATTATTTTTATCTTTTTTAAACAATGATTGTTTTAATAATTTTACCATAATATGACATATATTGTTGACGAAGCAACACTATCAACTGAACTTCTCTCAGAAGTTTCATCGGTTTTTCGTTAGCAATGGCTTATCGTTGCTTACAGATACGCATTAAATTTCCCCTCTACTATATTCCCAACTTCTCACTTACAAAAATGAATGCACCCACTTACGAAGTATGTATGTCCTTTTTTTATATATATACAAGTAAATGATATGAATTATAATGGCAATGGGTTTTTTCACTTTACACTTATTTTATTCTTTTTACCATATTTTTACTTTTTAGGTACAGTGGTGATGCAAAACTGTTATCAAGAAAGAAATTGAAACTTGATCATACCTATTCATTGAACTATTCTGAAAAAATTACAAATAATACTATACCAGACTCCATGCTTTGCAAAATTTGCCTCAAAGAACCATTGGCAGTTATTTTCATTCCTTGTGGTCATATAATTGCTTGTATCGCATGTGCCGTAACCTTGGATGAATGTGCTGTATGCAGAGAAACATTTACTATTACTTTAAGAATATTCGTGGATTTTAAAGAGATAAAAAACAATAATAGTGGGTTAGCTTGTTTACCACCACAAAATACTTCACAATCTACCAGTCCTAATTCAATGCTTTGTAAGATGTGCCGCAAAGAAGAAATAAGTGTTGCTTTTGTGCCATGTAGACACGTAGTCTGCTGTTTTGAATGTGCCGTGAAAAATGTTTCATGTTGTGTATGCTCCACACCATTTTATGCCTTAATACAAGTATACTTGTAAACTTTGTCAACTGCCCAATTAAAATAAAGCTATAACAGAAAAAACGAATAACAGAAATAAATAAGGTTTTAATTATATTTTTAAGCCTGCATAAAAAAAATGATAAAAGTAAACAATTAATTATTTCTGATTTTTATTAAATATAATTTTAGATTAGCCAATGGAATAAAAATTAAAACTTAAATTGCAATTCCAGGAATTAATTTTCTCAATATAATTTGACCTTCATTAGCTTTTTTCTTAATTTTATTCATCTCAAATGTATATATTTTAAGCATTTAATTAAAGATTTGTATATATGTCCGTATATAATTTGTTTGTTTTAAATTATTCTATACAATTTATATATGGGTTTTTTCAATATAAATGGGAAAATTTAATGTAAATATTAAACACCCTTTCTTATCAACAACTATTAGTCATATTTAATGGAATCTATTGAGTGTTTAATTTAAGATATATAAGTTTCATATAGTTAGCTTGAATTTATTATTATTATTACAAATACAAATACAATATTTATTAATACAAATTTAGAAGTGATTAATTTAAGTGGAAGAATTGTTTTTTTAATAGTTACAGTTCGATAGTAATATTTGAATTTATTGAATATATATTTTAAGTGCTACATTATAGACTTATTATTATTATTATTTTTTATTAAATTTGTTTGCTGTTATAAATTGTCAAGTACAATTTATTATACTGTTTGATATGAATGAAAGAAATATTACTATTCTAATATACTGCAAACTTTTAAACTTTTATTTTATAAATAATTTGTCTCCTAATCAAATATGATTAAATTTAATATTTATGTTTTTTAATACATTTATTTTTAAAGACTGTAAATATTTTATTTTATTTAATTTAGAAGTGATTAATTTTTAGAGGAATAATTTATATTATTTAATCATCATCAAATTTTCTTTTTCTTGGACAACTGATCTCTTGTAGTAATATTTGAATATATTGAATATATATCTTAAGTGAAACTTAATTTATTTTATATTCAATTTGCTTATTTGTTACAAATTGTTCAATACAATTTATTTAAAAGTATTTGATATGAATGAAATAGATATTATTATCCTAATATTATACTGTGGGAATGTTCCATTCTACCCATATATTGTAATATTAATTAATTTTTTTTCATAGATAACTTGTCTCCTAGTCATATTTGATTGATGTTTATTATAGTACCTATGTTTATTTTAAGATACTATTTCTTTAAAGAAATATATAAATATTTTATATTATATTGGCTTGTATTAATAGTATTCAAAACTAATTTAGAAGTGATAATTTAAGTGGAAGAATAAATTATATTATATAATCTTCATCAACCTTTTATTTTTCATTGACAATAGGTCTCCCATAGTAATATTTCGATATATATTCAGTGTATAAGTGTATACCTATCTCAATCATTACATTAAAGAAATGTAAATGTTTTGTTTAATATAAAATGTATTTGTTACAAATTATTGTTTAATACAATTTACTTATAAGTGTTTAACACAAATAAAAGGAATATTATCCTATTATATTATAATAATAAACCACTTTTTTCTTAGTTATATTATTTATTAAATTTAATATTGAGTGTTTTTCTTTAAGATAAAAATATTTAAAAAAAATGTAATAATTTCATAAAATATTGAATTATTTAATAATATACTATTATAATCTTCATTAGCTTGTAAAAATTGTCTAATTCTCTGTTTAATGTGCCATTTAATCTTTTATTATGTAAACAATTTATGTTTACCTTAATTGTTATGGTTTGCAAATAATTAGTTGTAGACAATAAGTATTGTAATCACTTAAACTGTAGTGTAAAAATAAAATAATAAATAATTTTTTCCTTATACCTATATCTATTATTTTCATTGTGTTATAACAAATTATAATATAAAATCAATGCATCATTGTACAATTAGAAAAAGTAAATTCTAGATATTTTAATATTCTACATCAATCACTTTATTTGCTTTAATTGTTATTTAAATAATCACAAATATTCAGTAAAAATTAGTAATTAATTATTTATATATTTATTAAAATTAACACAAATCATCTTTTTACAAAAATATAAAATATATTTATACATTATATAATAATATATTATTATGTTATCCATATATATTATACATGGATAACATAATTAAAAAGCAACAGAATAATAGTTATTTAACATAACTCTGACTTAATTAGTTTGAGAAGAAGTACATATATACATGGTCCCATTGTTAGGATAAGAAAAATATTAAATGTGTGCCACCCAGTGGTGTAATTTAGGTTTACTTTAAGCACCCCCAACTTTTATGTCTTTGTAATTTTAAATATCTATAGTTTTAACAATATAATTTTATTTTTTAAGATTTTATTAGCAGTTTTATTCTTATCTTGCATACAGGTTATAATTTATTATATTTTTTATTATAAATTGATAAGATATGTAAACAAGTAACATAATATTGTTATGTTGAGATTACTGGAAGATAATCTTTCATCTTTAATGAATGACAGTAAGTTATCAATAGAACATCACCTATTGTAATAAGTGTTAACTGATGACCCCTCACCACTATGTAAGTGATTCATAACTATAGCACACCCAATATTTGAACTCTAGTTGCGCCACTGGTGCCACATCATGATTTGAATCAACACACAAAAGAAATCAAGTTTGCATTGGATAACATTTTTGACATTGGGGCATTTCTAGAGAAGTTAGTTTTATGGTTAGGTTGATAAAAAGAACCCTGAAGTCTAGTGATACTAGGAATATGAAAATCAAGTAGATTAAGGAGCCTTGGGGCATCCACTCGACTATCAACTAGCCCTCGAATGAAATTTATACCAAATTTATCGTACCTGACTGAGAGAGAATTGAGTTTAAGAGCTTGAATAGACCAGTAATTTTGTATTGGGTGAGGAATATTAAGGTAAAAACCAGTAAAGCTCATAAAACTGTTTTGCACCCGATCCATCAAAATTGATTTTTAAAAATAAATAATTATAAATTATAAATCACACTCGTATAAATCCAAAATCTTTTTTCCAACTGTTCTTATTTTAAGAAAAAAATATTTAGATAATTTATTTTTCGAAAATGCCATATGTTTATTTTAAGTTTATTTTTATATAATTTATACTTCCACTACAGTAGTAGTCAGTTTTATCACTTTCGATTGTGGACTGCAGATTTCGATAACTTGCTACGACAATTATTTTTGTGAAAACATTAAAAATATTTTCATTGATTACATAATATAGTATTAAAATACATATGTAGTTACCTATTATATCGTACTATATAATATTATGTAGTATTAACCAATAATATTACTTTTTATATTATAATATTTAAAATAAATACATTTTTTTTTCCATATTAAAATATGGACAGATTAAAATCCCGACAAAAGTAAAAATGAAAAAGAAAAAAATTAACATCTTGGTAAAACCACTACATTCTTCGCTACACTCAGAATCTAATATAGTACTATATAAGTTATATAATATATTACACTAAAAAAAGAGCAATATAATCAGTGGCGTATTTAGACCTGAATTTTTGGGGGGGGGGGGTTTAATTTTTAAATTGTTTTCAAATTGGACCTGATGTCCTGACACCTGAACATAACAAAACATTTCGTACATTTTAATAGACTACTAATTTTTATTCGTGTTTTTTTAATTGACATGTCATAATAAAATGTATATTGAAGTCTGAAATAACTACTAATTACTAAGCCATACGTATACATAAAAAAAAAAATGTTAAATAATAAAATAAAAAAAAAGTAGTAATAATAATAAATTAGATAATTTTTAAAACATTAACTTTCTATTTTTTTTTAAAAAAATATTGACCACCTCACTACTTTGGATTGGTATTTCTCTGTGGATACTTATGCCAATCCATTAAGTCGATTTTCCCCCGTAGAATTCCTCAAATATGATTTCAATCGTTTCAACGTTGAAAAGCTCCGTTCTACACTGGCAACTGTAACGGGCAACGTAGCGCTAATTTTTAAATATTGGTATACTTTAGGGAACAGTCACTCAATTCTATCTATCACTATTCGTGATAGATGGTCTTTTAAATTATTGTCTCCCGAAACTGCACGAAAAACGCAACAACGCACAGAACTTTCCGTCATTATAGGCTGGAAGTTCCGATGATATTGGACCTGAATCACGATGACCTCCTAAGGCAATTTCTTGCCTTCCAGTTAAAGTTATTGTTTCAATAATAGATGATAACATTTTCCGATTTTGTTCGATTGTCGCCAAACGAGCTGTATTAAGCTGAAGTCTAACATCAAAAATTTTTTTTTTCGTGTACATCTATGAAATTCTGAGCAATAATACAAGCAGTTTTATGGTATTCTAAATTTGTGTGATAACGAAATTGCTCTTTTGCATCTTTCCAACGATTGAATGGAGTCACTACGAGGGCCTTTGTGGAGATATGACTTCCTTTTCCCACTTCTTTAGAACAAAATAAAAAACAGAATAGGCAAAAAGCGCCGTCTAATTTTTCTGAATATGAAAGCCAAGGGAATTCCAGTAACCAGTGTCTTTGGAATTTGAGTTTTCTTGTTCCACTGATGGGAAATTTATAAAACTCATTTGGTATCCATCGATTTTTCAAAAGCTTGTACTTTTCATCTTTATTAATCGTTTTTCCTTCATAGGTACCAATATCAGAATCATAAGTTTGCGAGTGTATTTGTGTACTGGTACTAGCTGCTGACTCATTTAAACCTATTAAGTATTAAGTATTAATAATAGTTTTATTCTATAAGATGAATAAAATAAATAATAGCCTCACCTGAACTAATTTCATTTATTTCTGATCTCTTAAAGTTTGGATCGTTGTTATAATTTGTATCATGTTGGTCTCTACTCTCTACATCAAGTTTAGGTTTTTTTATTATCCACTTATCCATTGTTAATGTATTTTTAAAAAAAATAAGTTTTAACAANTTAATCGCACAAAATAAAATACGTGACGGCGATAATACCGATTACCGATAATGCCGATTACACCGTTCGTCCACGTCCATATCTACAATATTTTTGTAGAAATACTTATATTCCCGTAAGTACCCACATTTTACTAAAATAGAATAGAATATTCTAAATTCAATGGCTGTATCATTTAATATTTATATCAGAATTGCATAGAACAATAACAATTGTACGCTGTTTATTTTATTATGATAGACAATTTGTTATAGGCACCTAAGTTGCCAAGTACAATACAGTTAATTATAAGTACCATGCATTTTAGTTTTCTCATATAATAAATAAATTCATAAATTCTAAAAATTTCGGGGGGAGAGTTGATCACCAACCCCCCCCCCATTAGTACGCCACTGAATATAATACAGTACCTGTTTCCTTATTTGCCCGAGTATTTTTAAACTACTTTGGCGCCACTGAGTCGTTACAGCGAGAATATTCTTTGGAGAATGTTTTCCCCCAAATTACTATAGGAGTGACACTGTTTTTGAAAGAAGTCAGAAGGGACGATATGTAGAGCAGTAATTTAATTTACAACCGTATTGTATATGGCTTATCGTTTTATGCCGTATACAAAATATGACGATAATAATATGTCGGTTTAATTTGTATTGACAGTTTCCAGACTGCCTTGACTATAATATTGCTGTAGTAATGGACAAAAAAAAATACTCGACTTTAACACTACCGGTTTATCCCGAGTTTATTTTTTGATTGCAATAATTTATCGGTGCTTTCAGTGTATATAAACTAAATTACGTAACTACGTATATTATAGTAAATATCCTATACTCGCGGTAGCGCGAAGTATACTTCGAGTTTTTTTATTTTGTTTACATAATATTACATGTTTTCAGTGTCGAGTGACCTTCCTGTATATATTATCATAATATTATTAAGGAAAAATAATAATAATCGAACAAATTCGCAATTTAATACGAATCGACTATATTATTATAATTTATTAATTATTATTACTTACGATGTATCCGCGCGTTATTTTCCTCGTACCAACATATGTGATAAGGGGTAAGGAGGGGAAACGGGACGGTATTATTATTTTATTTCTTTTCTTCTGGGACTACACCGCGTTGCATGATTGTAATATTTTCGTGTGTGTTTAAGTATATAAAATTATATTATACATATCCGCATGAATTCTTAAATACATCAACGCGACCAAATACGGTTAGGTTAGGTATTAAAATCCGAGTAAAATTGCTGGTAGAAAAGTGGTCCACAGAAAAAAAGAAAATTAAAAAACTAATAAATATCTTTGTAAAACTATTAGCTTCTTCACTCCACTCAGAATCTAAAAAATAATTATTCACTATTTTAAGTTGAAAAATACATATTTGATTTATAATTATAATGTAAAGTCAATTAATTTGTTTAACACATAACGTATCAAGGAATATTCAAGAAAAATATTTATAAAAAATTATAATAGTAATGGTTATGAAGTTATTTGATAATAAATTTGGAAAAAAAATTAAATCAAAACTACAACAAAAATATTTGAAATAGAATACATTAATTTTTTTCTTGATTTTAACTGTACAAGCCAATTTATTACTCAAAGTTTTTTCAGTAAATATTTAAGCATGAATGTTTTAAAAATACGAAATAAAAAATTTATATAATATTATTAGTATAAATACATAATTTAATCTCATTAATTTAAATTTTATGTTTGGGGGCTCTAAGTGGGGTTCGTGGAAATAATAAGTCTTCTAGGCCATCCTATCTTTATACTGATGTTGTTTTTGATTAAATTCTAGTATTAGCGAACCCAATGATGAATATGCTATATATAGTTTACCATTATACTAGCAGATCATGAGAAGTTTTCAACAAAATTAATACAATATAAATAATTTTGCAATCAAATATTTAATTTAAACAACCAGGTATAAAAAATATTACAGATAATACAATTTAAGTATAACAGGGAAATAATTATTTTTTATTATTATAAAATACATTTATTATTAATACACACATAAGTAAATTGTAACATAACATAATAATTAATAATTATAATATTAATTACTAAACTACAAAAAATAATATCTATGCTGCTTTCAAACCCTTTTTAGAAAAGTAGTCACTTCTAAAGGAATGAGTCATAAATTCTCCGACCAAACTTCTTATCCAAATCGGAGGTAATCTTAAAAAGAAATGCTGAAAAAGATATAAGTATTTAGAAATCAAACTTTATAAACCAATTGCCTATACACCAATGAAATCATTTTGATGTTGTTAGGTATAGGTTATGTATATGTATAATGATTTTAAGTGGTTAAAGTGCTCAATACTCACAGTTTTGTAAGGTATTTGAGTAAAAATATTACCTAAATGTTTTATTTGAGTGTTCGATACATAAAGTAATCATCACCTTCATTTGTGTGGTAGCATAGCATGCTGCATTTCAATTATGTTCCACTACTCTCCCCCTACCCAAACTTAAAATTGGAATATATCATTAATTGGTTGCCGGAAACCAAAAATAGGTAGTCATTTCACACACAAAATGAATGGTGAAAAAAATAATGTTAATGCAACATTTTAGAAGTGCTTGTTTCTTAAATTGTCAAATAAAAATATTTGAAAAAAATAAATACTTTTTAAGTTAATGAGTGTACACACTTAAATGGAACAACTTGTAGAATTTTAATTACCTACGTTTTTCATTTTTAGAGTGAGTATTAAAATTATTTGGTAGGTATTATCATTATTTATTTTCTAGAAGGTGGTGTAACCTAGTAAAATTTAATATATATATATAGGTAAACAGCAATTCGTAAGCAAATCTACCAATAAATCGAGTTCCACATATATTTTCGTACGGATGAGGTTTTTTTTTTTTTTATTTGTTTGATATTAGAGTGGGGGAACTGTTGAACAGCATTTGTTTCCCCGTTTTATTGCTTTAGTTGTATTTTATACGCTTACTCTGTATAATATGGTGTATATGGTAGCATCCGTACGTGTCAAGTTCAAATATGTTTACTCACACGAATTTCGAAAATTTCTTTAATATTTAGACATAATGTAAATAATAATATATATTACGAACTGATATAGGAGTTAAAGTTCGACCAATGCGCGAATACAGTTATAATAAAATACGTGTAGGTAATAAGTTAGGGGATACATTTTAAAAAAAAACAGAACCATAAAATCAAAACGTACCAGACCCTGAATTAAGTAATACATTATATGGGATATTTAAACAGTATAAAAACTATACATTTTTATTTTACACTCAGGTAAGTAACCTACAAATGATTTTTAAAACTATTAAATACTTATTTCGAAATATCTTTAATAGGACGTTACACGTGTATTTGTTGTCTATACTCTGTCTTACAAACGCAAAACATAACAAATTTGCATTAAGCAGAATTAATTTTGTGGTATTAGTTTCATTTTTAGAGTGAATTGGCTTATTTTTGGTCACGCATAACCTAAACATAGTATAGTATCTATTATAGGTAAACCAGCATTGATTTTAATAAATTATAATAGGTAATATACAATTATTATTATATTAATAGTTGTCTCACTTGAATTCCATGAGCCCAGTAACCAGTTGAGTGGTTCACCAGGCCCAACGTATTCACAGCATTTGTAGCGTACGTCTTGGCGTCTGGAACGAATAAACTGGTCTCTTGCAGCTTATAACTAAACGCGTTCATTTTCGTATTGATGAAGAGTGGAAACAGATGCTGTACTAGTATATTGTCTTCCTCGTATTCAATCCGGAGCGCTTCGGTAAAGCTCTTTATGTACGACTTAAACATAAATAAAGCTTAAACCATTAGAATTGCCACCCTCGTACTAAAATACCACCTGACTCGATCTCTCATATTATCCTCAATCACATCAAACCACCTCTGTTTCGGTTTTCTCCTCCCTTTCCTTCCGCCTACGTTTATTTTAATTACAATTATTAGTTACCGTGATTCTAATATCCTCATGATAGACCCAAACTATTTAAGACTATTTTCTTCATTTTTTCTACTATTAAAGCTACTTCTAAGTTACTTCTTATGTATTTATTCCCATTCTTTATCCTAATTTCTCTCATCACTCCACTTATCGACCTTGGCATTTTCATCTCTGCTACACTCATTCTTTGTTCTATTTTTCTGTTTACCACCAAACACCCAGACCTATAAAACAGCCGGTCTCACCCCATTATTGTAACTTACCTTTAAGTCTCATTGGAATCCTCTTGTGGAATACCAGTGGATTTAATATAATTATATAATAACAAAATGTTTTATCTATTAAATACATTTTTATTGTTTGAAATAGAAATTTAATATAGGTAGGAAAGAGTGGGGCAAATTGATTGAGTCTGTTTTAAATAGCTGTGACGACATCTAATGGTGATTTTTTGGAGCATTTAGAAATACATGGATAGTATGATGTAAATTATATTTGTATAAATTATTATCTGATAACATATGAATAATGAGTTAAATTGTCAAATTGTTTATAAGTCAAAAAAGTGTAAGTCAAATTATGTAAACCAACTTGAGTTAAATACCTACTATTAGAGCTTATTTAAATATTACCCTTGAAATGTAACCTACGAAACATCATTCAATAGAAACTGTAGAGTAGTTAAGTTGCTTCATTGCAATATCATCTTGCCCCATAGCTGGAGCAAGATGACGAAATTTTCAAATATTCTTAGATAATTAAAAACAAACAAAAAATACTAAATATTACTCTACCAAATAATTATCATTTACTCTTTGTATACTAAAGATTATGTATAAAAAAATGAAGAATATCGAACCACTAGTTTTAGCAGAATAATTATTAAAAGCTTAAGGTAGTCAACTTGCCCCGCTCTCCTCCTACATATACAATATTTAAAAATTTGTGTGCAAACGTATTGTTTTGATTTCAAATGTGGCGGTACAAGTATCATATTTGCGCAGGCCAATTTACACTACTGCCTATCAAAATTGTATCATTTGCAAACATCATGGTAACTTGTATCACTGGTACCATGTATTTTTTTCGTAACTTTATTCATTCAACAGAAAATAGGTAAGGGTTCAAGTTCTACTTTAATCTCAGAATCGTCTATTATTCCAGATTTACTTCTGACACATATTTGACATACCTAACTTCCGTGCACATCCTCATCAAACTAATATACAATTTAGGAACTCCTTTTCTCATTAACGCCCATATCAAAATCCCTCTTGGCACTCTGTAATAAACTTTCCAGAAATCTATAAAAGTCGCACATAGGTTTTTCTCACTCTTTCTTTACTTTTCTACGATCTATCTCACACAAAATACCTGTCATAAAACCAAACTGTTTCTTAGATATTGATTTCTCACTTCTAATTCTATTTTATATAATTTCTTATAAAGGTTTTACCCGTCAATGCCTAGCTTTTTCACTTTCGTTTGTTACTAGTCTCTTATATAACTGATCATATTTATTTAATTTCGTTTTGCTTACCACCCTATAAAGCATAAGTTTACTTGCACAGTCTTTTGTACTATATCCAATTATCTTTTCTATTCTTATTTTTATTTTCATGCACTCTCTTCCCACAACACCAAAACTTCATTACCATTACCCTATGCTATGTTGTTACACCAAGTATTACTTACAATTCTTTATTTACTTAACAATTATTTATTTCTCTCTACCAAATAAAATAATCTTTTTGTGATCTATTTCTTGCATTCTTAAATGTATATAAGCTCATTTCTCTTTCTAAAATAAACATTTTAAATTAAAATGTATTATAATTGTCACCTTAAAAAGTACATTTTAAGTTTATAATAAAATCATACAATTGCACTTAGGGGCTGAACATTTGTCCGCAATTTAATTTTACTAGTTTATTTATAGGTATTTTTTTTTTTGTTTAGGCATGTACCTTGGTGGCCGCATAAATAGCTAACAGCGGTAAAGGCTGTAGCTCGGCACTAGAAGACACGTTGACGATGGCGCCACGTTTCCGTTTTTGCATGCCCGGCAATACTAGTTTGGTCATGTGTGTGGTGGCGCCAACGTTTACGTTAATCAGGTCCCACACGGTTGATTCCGGTACTTCAGTTATATACATCGGGTACATATATTGCATGCCTACGTTGTTGACTGTAAATTAATAACAATGGCGGTTATCAGTAAATTTCGTACAGAATCGAACAATGACATCATTATTATTTTTATACACATTGCGTAAGTAAAAATGGGCTCTCTTTATAAAAATGCAATTATACTCAGTCAAAATTAACCCAAACTACATAATTTGTATTTATTTATATAGCCATTGGGAATCCCGATTTAGTTGTGAAAAATTATAAATTGAAGTGTATTGAAGTAAGATCAGACGTCCAGGGAATTTCTAACGCAGTAATGAAGAAAACCGGCACTTTGGCAGAATCGATTTGCGTTGTTCAATTAGCCATGGTTTATTTTGTGACCAACGTGTCGTCGCCATCATTTAACAACAGTTTACTTTATTGCCATATTAAAAGTACACCACTTCTGATTTTTGCATAAGAGAATGGTTTCAATGCCAAAAATTTGGATTGGAACCTCACACAAATCCCCTCCGTAGTTTGATAGGTACTTACCATAAAATCACTTCCAAAGGAACTAGCCTGACATTCGTCCGATTACCACCAAACTTTGAAAACGGTTCCTAGATACATACTTCACAAGATGGGTGGACCACTATTGTAGGTGAGAAGCTGAGAGGGTAGGATTTAGAAAGAAATTGAATGTATATCTGTACGTAACGATTAATCATTAATAACGAAAAACGATTTTGAGCGAAGTTCGATTATACATGTTTTGAAAGACCGTAATATTTATGATTTTATCATAATTTGATATTGAAATTCTTATAAAAAAAATTCTACGTTACGCTCAATTTTTTTTTTTTATCACAAAGTACGATTTATAATGTACCCCCAGTTAAATTTTCAAACATTTCTGTTTGATCTAACAATTGTATCCACAGAGTACCTAAAAAAAAATTGGCTAAAAAAACTAGCAAAATTAAAATAACTATAAATGGCTCAAATGTTTTTAAAATTTCAGAATCTAGAAAAAGCAAAAATTATTTGTCCAAATTTAAAATAATTACGAATATTTTTAATTGGATTACAATAAAAAAAAAAAATTAAAAATAATAAAACTATTATTTTTATAAATTTTCTCATTTTTTCTATGTTTCTTTCGGTTTGCTCAATTATCAAAAAAACTACACGGAATATTAAAAAAAAACTTTTTTACTCACCAACAAAATTAAAAAAAAAGGTCTCTTGTAATTTTTTATTGAAGCAAAATTTCTAATAGGAAAAAACATAAGTTACAAAAATATAAAGTTATGAAATCGTTACTACGTAAATATTTTTCTGTTTGTTCCTACGTTTTTACTACATTTTTTCCGGTTTTTTTTAATTGTTATGAAAATCACTTGGAAAACCAAAAAAAATACTTGTTTAAAGTACCACTTGGATAAAATTCCCTTTCTGAAAAGATGCATTAGACTTAATACATTAGAGAATAAGAAAATAAGATTTTCATTTAAGAATAAAATAACAAACATCATTTTAAAACCATTATATTCGTCGGTAATGCTAGATATTATGATATAAGTTATTATTTTAACAAAACAATCACGGCAGTACTGTGATCTCTTATTCTAGAGCTGGTATAAATACAAGGATCTCGCAGCAAGATAATTTCCGATATCAAAACTAATATAATGCGCATACATGGACTGGGGTCAATGGCTCGCTCGGACTGCTTAATTGAGTTCAATTTGTTATGCAAAACCACGCCAGGTGTAAGAATGAAATACCAAAAAAAAATTCTTCAATTATCGGATATGAACTCGATAACGCATGGGTGAGAAGCGCCACATTATACTTTTCGATTACTATAAAAATGTATGGTGATTCATATATGCATTGCCCCAAATACTACTGTACTGGCGACGAAACAATCACGGCAAAGTACACTAGACCCTCAGTAAAGATAACCCAATGAATTCTTTCTACGTACGTGGCGTACATAAACTTAAAGTCACTGGTGTAGGTAAGTATTTCGAAAATCTCGCATTATTCTTGAACTTGAAACATATTCAACAGGTAGTCGATGAAATTGTTTTGTTGCACATAAGTGACAATTGTAGCCGCCTATATTTGAAAATTCTACAAAAAATTCTACATTCTTCACCGATAATATTTTTTTGAGTAGGTAATTTTAATGATGTGTTGAACACGGATTTAATGTAATATAAGAGATCATTCGTTTTTCCATCCCGTATATCTGCGATCTTCAAATGCATCACTTCATTTAAATTCTTTTCGTTTTGAATGTGGTTTCGACTAACTTAAAAAAAAAGCTTTTTTTTAGAATTTAAGTACATTTCAGTTTCCATTGTTTAGTGTCCAATATAAGTGTAATTATACTCATTATGAATAACTTTTTCCAAATTAATTTTTTGAAATTCACTTATTATTATTATTATTATTATTATTGTAATTGTTTTAACCACTACGAACCCAGTATTCCGATTTCAATGCCTTCTAGTTCCTTGGCAATGTGGTTAAATATTGTTTGTCCCTTGCTAAAATCCGCCTGAATCACTTTTACTTCGACGTTGAATTCTTTTTCTATGAAAAACATCAATAAATAGTTAAATATAGCATTGATCAAATTATTAATCAATAATCAGAAAAAAGAAAAGGTATGATTTGGTATACAGATTAAAAAAAACCCAGGTATACAATATATTATATATTGTTCAATGGTTGTTTAAATAAATTTATTTGAAAATAAATATCAGAATTGGTAGATACTAAATTGTTCCAACAAATTTTGTTAAATAAACAAATGGACAGCCCAAATACATACATCAAGTATTACTATAATATGATCAGCTCCATAGTAAATTTGTTTTAATCGTTTGAGATAAAAGAATTTCTAAAACAAGATCGAACATTTTTAAAAAGAGCTGATACTGATGACGGGTGTGGCCACTGTTGTAGGTGGGTATTGGAGAAGATTGGGTACATTATGTTATATAATTTAAAAAACGATAAAAAATATACTACATTAAACTATTTTTTTTTTTTTACCACTAAGCACGACTTATAATGAACTATCTACCAATATCCATTAATTTCTGTTAAGTCTAACAATTCATCTACAGAATACCTACCAAATAAAAATTACAAAATTCGTAAAATTAAAATGTCTTTCAATGCTAAAAAATAACTCATTTGTTTTGAAAATTTTACCACGTATAGAAAAAGTAAGTATACATTTTTGTTAAAATTTTAAGACTACGAATATTTTAATCTATATTACAAAGAAAAAACAAAACTGAAAATATTAAAAGTATTAGTTTAAAAAATTATCCGTTATTTCTACGTATTCTTTCAATAATTTTATTCAGTTATCAACAAATTTCAAAGAAAATCAAAAAACGAATTTCTTGATCATCATTTAGATTAAAAGTTCAACAAAAAAGGTCTCTTTTCTTTTATCTATTGGATATTCATGATAGAAAACATAAGCCATACAAATTTTAAATAATGAAATCATTGTAATTGTAATCGCCGTTGTGCCATAATTTGAAAAAAAAGTGTATTTCGTCTTTTTGATTTTTCCTAATTATTATGAAAACTACTTTAGATATAAAAAAAATTACTATCAGTGGAAAAAAATTAAAAGGAACAAAATCTATTTTTGTCATTTTTGGATTGGAGTAATATTTCTGGTAGAAAACATCATATAAACCTTATAAAAAAAATGAAAACGGTAACAACTCCATGGCGCACCGTTGCGTTTACCTATAATTTTCTTTAGGTTTTTCCCAATTATTCCAAAAACCCATTGGGAAATCAAAAAATGACCTTCTCAACGCACCAACTTGAGAAAATTAACTGTCAGGAAAGGTGCTATAGTCTATATTTCGGAAGAAGTTTTCTTGTAGAAAAATTGTTCACCAGACAGAAAAAAAAATCATACACATCATATTAAAACTAATAGATCGCTCGGTACACTCCGAATCTAAAATTAAAACTAAAGAATTTGGCAGTTAGGTACTTTGTGTAATCATATTACCGCGTTTTACGTATCATATACTATTCACTAGAAATAACAATTATATTTTGTAAAAAAAAAAAATTCCATTACAATATATTTCTCTTTCGCTATTAATTTCCGAAACTTACTAATTTCGGAAGCGATCTTATTCAATTTGTCAATACTTCTACTGATCAACACGATGTTAAGACCTCGTTGGGCTAATTCCTTGGCGTATTCTTTCCCAATGCCGTCCGTAGAGCCGGTGACCACTAAAACAGAATACCATTATGTTCGCACAATAAAATAGTAATAATCATTTTTAACTGTAATCAATAATTACAATTAAAAGCTAAAGTATACAATTAACCTTTGTGTATTTTATATATCATAACTAGGGCTGGGATTTATAAGTAATAAAAAAACAATAATACCAATGTACATATAATATATGTAATTCAAATGACCAAAATATGTAATAAAAAAAAATTTAAAAACATCAATCCAAAATAAAACAATGACAAACCATGTAGAGTTGTAAGTTTTCAAAATAAAAGCTACGATGATTCGGTCCTAACACTGAATTATATATACTAAATGAACGTTCCATATCACAGGATGTTATTGGTGCATACTTCATGGCTGTTATTTCACTAGGCGACAATTCGAGGTCCGTAGAGTTTTCATTCGGTATACGACAAAGAAATATTTCCTATATATTTAATAGACTTAAATCCCGAAATTTTGTTTAAAACTGCGTTCATTTTATTTTTTAATAATTCAGCTATTGGACCCTCCGATTCATTGATTTTTGAAATTGATGAATCAATAATTTTGAATTTTCGCTTAACAGGATGTTCGTATTTTCTAGCTTTGATATTAATTCACCTAAAAACCTAAAATTAGACACAATTATATAATTGAGCAGTTTTTATATTAGGTTTCTGAAAAATTTAATTTCACTTGGAAATTGATGCTGAATCTTCAGAACCCAACATAGATACTACATTTTTAGTTTGATCATTATATTTGCAATAGTAATTTACGGCTTGTAACCATGTCCCCCACCAGTTATGATTCATAACTAATAAGGTTAGGTTAAATGAAAATGTATTGGTTTTATTTTTTTTGGTAAGGAGCTTAATTTAATTGTGATCAAAAACGGGTACTCGAATAAATAAAATCTAAATGTTACAATATTTTAAGTCGGGGACTGTAACTGAGCTTAAAATAACCGGAAACCTTGTGTTAATTATGAACTGGAACCTAAACCAAAACCGTTTTAATGTTTAAATAGCCAAACCAAAATTCGAACCTAATTGCGAAAGTTCCATTGTTTTCGGTTTTCAAAGGTTCTTTATGGTTTATAACTTTTTATATATAAGTAAATAGATCAAAGAAATTATACTATTTGTGACACGTTTTCAACACTATATATTATTTAATTTATTTTTTTTCTAAGAATAACTTATTCTATGTATAATATGGAAAATAAAAATCATATTACTTTAGCCTATAAAATATATTACATAGTCAATACAGGTTATTTTTCAATGAATTAAAATATGTAAAGTGCCTACATAATTAATAATATAATAATAATAAAATTGATTAGGTATCTTCTATAGAATGTAGACATATAGTTGGATAATAGTGATATTGATTATTGATGTCTAATTACCGATCTTATCCTAAATTATTCAAACGAAGTTATTGACTAAAGAGGATGTTTAAATATTTTATAAATATATTATAGTATTATTTTCCTAGTCGTGGTTATAGGCCATAGTTATACTACATTTAGTAACAACGAAAAGAGGACTAGGAGGATAGATCTGGGTATCGTGTAGGTACTAGGTATTTGTGATTGGGTGTTTGCGTCGACTACAAGTAATAGGTATTGCAGCCCATTATTAATTACCCCGTTATTAAATATTATTATTATATTTCATAGTATTACGTAATAATATTACCTACTGCGATTATAATTATTGCAATTTGCATTTTGTAGTATTGCACTGGCCACTGGCGACAACGGTCAACGTTTTTGGTCGCGTTTATAAAATATTACAATTATTCTAATAAATATTATATGCAGGCTATCCCATGAAGATATATCCTTTGAATATCTCCGGAGATAATAGAGATAATCAAATTTTGTTTTTTTTTTTTACTACTTGCAGGGATGAGGAATACAAATATTTATTTTTTAATTGTTTTTTTTTTTAGTGAACAAATTTAAAACATTTTAAAAGTTTAAGGAAAATTTTAAGATATCCATTATGTAGAGTTTATTTTTCTGAAAATTTGAAAGTATCACAAACATATATTCGATGAATAGTTTCTAAGTAACAGCGGTTTTAAATTCTACTAATCCTTGTGAAAACTGATGTTATCGTGTAACACGGTTATATTATTCCTTAGATAACATAGGAAAATAATAAAATAAAAATTTATATTTTGAATTTGTTTACAAAATAAAAATTAATTCAAATACAACTAATTGTAGTCCTCAATCCACATTCCTGTGAATAATAGAAAAAAAACGGAATTTGGTTATTTTTATTATCTCCGGAGATATTCAAAGATTATATTATCTTCGTGGGACAGTCTGTATATTTATTTATTTATATAGTTCATGCGGACATAAAGTCCAATTACAATAAAAATTGTTTATCTTATTTTTCACAATTAAGAACTTAATTCACAATACTTTTAAATTTACAAAAACTATTAACAAAAGGATCAACATTGTACCTATTAGCTCATAAACGATTAATTGGTAAATTTGGTACTAATTGATTACTTGCTAAAGATGAATAAAACAAATTGACGTTACCTAAATTAATTTTAGGAACTTTAAAACTAACTATGCATAGTAATTCAGGACATTCAATTAAATTATTATAAGAAAAATAAATCTAATTTTTTCTTTCTTATTTCTATAGTATTTAAATTTAATATACTGAGTAATGGCTCATAAGATATGTGTGCCTCTCTATATATATATTACAATTAATAGAAAAAAAAATCGGTGTTGCACAGCTTCTAGTTCTTTAATTAAACCTATCTAATGAGGTGTCCAAAGAATGGAATTATATTCAAGACATGGTCGGACTAGTGAAAAGTATAATGATTTTAAGGCAATTTTAATATTTGTAAAATTTTCACAGTGGCGTCTTAATAAACCTAACTGTTTTGATGCTTTATTTATTATTTAAGAAATATAAGTATTAAAAGTTAGATTCAAAAATATATTTTAGATTTGTAATATTTAAAACAATTGATAGTTTGCAATTAAAAATTTGATATTTGAAAATGATAGGTTTCTTAATTCAGTAGAAGGAAATAAAATTGCATTCAGATAGGTTCAAGGTCATTTCGTTGGTTGAACCAGCTAACCATATTGTCTATATCTTAATGTAGTAAATATGCATCATCAATGGATTTTATGAAACTAAACAATTTGCAATCATTAGCAAACGAAAATAATGTAGCAAAACGTAGACAAAAATTTAAATAATTTATGAATATATTAAAAAGATGTGATCCTTGAGATAAACCAGACGTTATATTTATAGAAGAAGAAATTAAATTTTTGTATTTTACTATTTTAATTATATTAGTGACAAATGATGTAAACCATGATAATAATGGATTATTTATATCAATATAATTACATTCTGTGATAGAATAAAGTGGTTAACCCTATCACACGCTTATCGAAATCAGAATAGAATACATCTGCCTGATAACCCTCACTGATGCATTTTAGAATTTTTTGATAAAAGTGATTAAATTAGTATTAATGGAGTGATTTTTATGGAATTCATGTTAACTACCACAAAGAATATTTTTGAATAAAGGACTAATTTATTTATATATTAAATCACCAAACTAAATACATTTTATTTTTTAATAATAATTTATTATTTATAACTTATTATTATTATAATTATATTTTAATAATTATTTAATATTAAAATAATTGTGGCTTGCCGTAAACAAAATTCTGTGTAGGTTTTTGGTTTTAGCATTATTTTCTAAAGAATAACAAAAAGATGCACGTCGAGTAGGTCGATCACTTAAAATTTTAATTTAAAAATATTTATTTGTTATAGATTATAGTCGGTATTGATTGTAACCGTAACTATAATCTTAATTTCATATTTTTAAGTTTTATGACTAAATCTGAAACCTTAATAAATTTTTGTGGTAAAACCTAAACGAAACCAAAACCAAAAAAAAACATGTTTTGAGAAGGTAAGCAATACAGTTTAAAAGAACTATGCATACGTTCGATATTGTTTTTTTGTTGTAATTCGGTTAAAAATGATCGTAGAGACCTGAAATTTTTAGAAAATACTTATTTTCGAGCTACATGATTATTAAAAACATTTGGTGTTTTCGATATTTTTAGGTTTTATTTAGCTTTATGCGGATAAAATTAGTTTTAAAACAGAAAAGCTTGAAAATTTAAAACGATGTTCATTATAAATTGTACTAAAACGTGGAAAAAAAAATCGTACATAATGTTAGAAGGTAATAATTTTTTTTTTTTCAATATTTTCGATAATTATTCAAATTAATATCAACGTATACATTGATAGTATACTACATGCATAAAATATTACAATGTAATAATTATTATTAGGTAGATATTTTTATATTTACATGATCTATCTCACAGAACTATACAAATATGAACGATATTGTTATGTCACTAAACATCTGATGTAATAATCCAATTGACCGTATTATAAAATACGAGAAAGTGAATGTATTACTCGTCACTTTCCGTTTCCGCATATACAGAGAGTTCCACAAAGGCATTCCCATTGCAATATCTCCTGATATTGTACAGAGCTTATTCTTCTGAAAATGTTGATATATCAAATTTTTATTTCCGTTAAATTTTTCGTTTTTAATAATTTTTTAAAACTCAAAAAAAAAGGACCCATAATTACAGCGGGCTGTAATCGCATTTGCTAATTAGTTATTATTATCAATTATCATAAGTAATTGAGTGTATACTTTTTTTCTCTGAACTTAAAAAATCACTCAAATTAAAAACCACGAATTTAATGAAAATTAAAAGGTAACACGTCAAAATTTTCAGAAGCTTCAAATCTGCAATATTCGAATGCTTCAAAAACAATAAAATACAATTTTTTTTTTTTTCTAAATTTTTTTCCAATACATAACAAATTAATTGAAATAAAAATATTTTTAGTCCTTATTCCTGTGAATAATATGAAAAAAAAAACGAAATTTGAATGTCTTTATTATCTTCGGAGATATAATGGGTACATCTTTGTGGGATACCTTGTATAATGATTGTCGTTGGTTGTAAGCATCAAGAATAATTAATTAATATAGGTACTGCCAAAAAAACTATCCATATATGTTCCTAATATTATTAGACTTAACGATCAATAGGATTAGAAATCCCATGTTCCTTGACGATTTAAACATATTTTATTAAATTTAATATGTTTTTTTAGTATAATGATATTTCAAAATGGTTTTATTAGGATTTATCATATCAACAATTGTATGTCAAACCTGACAAACTTTGATTTATTTTTGATCCTCGGCATTTCCCTAATATTCTCGGAACAAGTTTTGCTCCCAGTCGAAGCATTTGAAACTTTTCAGTTTCCATTTTTTATCATGAGTCATTTGAAATTTCACATTTCACTACTAATTAAGATTCTGTCATTACAACAAAAGAAAAAAAATCCTGTGTACTACCTTTTCTCTTCCCAAAAAGCTTACCTTTTGGATTCATTAGAAAATCGCCAACATACAAAAACATGTTTTACAAAATCAAAATTAAAATTAAGAAGCTTATAGAGAACCTACATAAACATATTATTTTCTCAGGAAAAGTTACAGAAACCAGTGTATCAACCATATTGCTCTTGGCACGCAATTCAACCAATTCCGGTAATTTTCTTGTAAATACTTGTAAATCAAAAACCTAATTTAACCTGTAAATTATAAATGTAAACAAAACTAGATGATTGGAATATTTTAACATATATTTAGTAGTCAGGCTATGTAGGATACAGTTTAACATTACACTAAACGAGTTGACGTTTATTATGTGTCTAACATAAACCACATCTTACGCTACCGCATGCGATATAATATCAATAAATATGCAACCAGTACTTAAATTGTAAATCAGTTTGTTGACTATTTCGCAATCATTTTTTTTTAAATTTTTTTTTTATTCGTTTCATTTATTTTGTTTTTTCATAAGATTGCAGTGCTGTAGATAGATACCTGTTTAAGAAAATCACTGTGTACCAAGTATTTATACGATTGCGTAAAAAATATAGGTACCTATTCGAAATCACATTATATCATATAATATTTTACTTTCACTTTAATATACCACGCTTTTATTTTATACCTACGTTATAATACTCCAACATCTCCAAAACAAAAGACCTTTCTTGTTTCATTTTTAATCTAGTTGGTAAGTAAGCAATTCGTTTTTTGATTTCCCTAGTAGTTTACGTGATAATGAAAAAAAAACCGAAAAAAAAAAACATAGAAAGAACGGGAAAATGCACAAAAATAATAGATATTTTCAATTTTGTTGTACTCAGATTAAAACAATTAAAGAAACTTCAAATTATAAAAGAGAATATTCTATGCCTTTTCTAGACTTGGTGAAATATTTAAAATATTTTGGTTATTTTTGAGCTATTTATAAACATTTTAATTTTGTATGTAATTTTTATTCGGTAGAAATTCTGTGGATAAAATTATTTAACCAAACAGAAATGTTTAAAAATTCAACAGGAGGTCCATTTTAAGTCATACTTAATGGTAAAAATAAAAGAACGGACATACTTCGCTCGAGGGTGGGCCACTGTTGTAGGTGAGAAGTTGGGAAGATAGAAGGGAAATTTGATATATATCTATATGCAACGATTAACCATTGCTAACTAAAAACGATTCTGAGCAGAGTTCGGCTATTAGTGATGCTTTGTCAACAATATATTTGTTATATTATGATAAAATAATTGCATAATATGCATTATATATTTTCTTTAAAAATATTTGTTTAATATTATAATATTCATTTTTCCGATTTTTCTCCAATTTTTCCTATTAATTGGGAAATCCTGAGAATATCAAAAAATTATCTCCTTAAAGTACCACTCTGGTCAGATTTATTTTTAGAAAATGTGCCAATATTATAAATCAAAGCTGGTAAAAATATTGTCCGTAGAAATAAAAAGGCCATAATTATTAATTACTAATAACTACAATTCGCACATTTTTGGCATTTTAAAACATGTATAACCGAATTTCACTTTGCATCTAAGTAGTTTTTCGTTAGAAATAAATGTATCGTTGCTTACAGGTATAAATTAAATAACTTTATGTATCTTACCTTTCCGATTTTCTACCTATAACAGTTGCTCACCCGTCCTTAGTAACAGCCCTTTTATTTTTATTTTTTTTATATAGGTACATATATGAATATTAATACGAATAGATTTTAATTTTGTATTTCAGTATGTTGAGGAAACTTTCAATACAATAAATTACGATTAGAAACCGAAAAATGTACCATGACAACTTCGGAATGTGGAAAATTTCCTACGGTCGGTATGATAAGAAAATACTAAAAAATGAATGTTTTTACTTATGTAGAAAAAACAAATTAATTACAAACTAATGTAAGTATAAACAGAGAACCAATCTAATATAATGTGGAATTCGTCAAACGAAGGAAAATTATTATACTAAATGAGTCATTGAAATTTTTAATTATTTTAAAATAATGAAACATATCGCGTTTTACATTTCGACTGTGATAAATCTGATGATGAATTTTTAATTCGAAACCGGTCGTATAATACACTTATCATAATACTCCAGGCGACGCATTTATTTATTTTTTATTTGTATAAATACATTTTGTATTTAATTGCTACCTATATTTATTTACGAGTATTAACCATTTTAATAATTTTGTTTGTACTTTATTATTTTATTAATTATACCTTTTTATAATTTTTTCGGTCACAAAATGTTTCTAAATCTAAGGTAGGTACTATTATGTATTCAAAACATATATATATATATACTGTTTTTCCTAATATTTATTAAATAAAAATTATATTTACTGATAATCATAATCATAATTACCATCATAATTACCTACTATAGTTATAGCGCATTTACATTTTTGTTCTTCATAACAGTTCTAAAACGAAGTTCATCTTCGAATTTGATTCACGGAATGTAAACAAATGTTTAATGGTACGACCTACAATTTATATTTTGCATTTTTCTACATTCTTATCCATTTCTAAGAAAACTTTCATAATTTTTGGCTAATGCCTATAACTTGAATACTATCATATACACGTCATTCGAGATTAATTAGTTGATAGTTTATTTATTTATATAGTTTATGTTTTCATGGTAAAAGCTCATATTTTTACAGCTAATTGTTATAACCATTAAGTTAAATTATCACCGGTTAAACAATAATTAAGTATGTTTTTTTTTTTAAATTCGATCTCGTCTTCAAATTTATATGTGATAATTTGATTTAGTTAGTTTAAAATTTTTTTTTTTTTAATTTTAACTTTTAACTCGTGGTCACCACGCACTCGGGGTACTTAAATATCTCAGCTATTTTTAAGCTGATTTTAAAACCCGTAAATATAATAAGATAATTCTGACATTATATCTAACTTTCTTAAAATAGGTTTATTATAAAATTATCGATTTCTCAATATTGTATATGATACTTATAGTTTGTTCGTGACAGTTTTTCGAATCCTATAAGTTGTCAGTTCGGAAAAAAATTACCCCATACGCGTGATTTCACGTTATAAGTACATTTCCTAACAATTATTTTTCTCAATATTACATTTTACATTACAAATTAATGTCAGTAATTTAATCCTCAACCACGAAAAACTCTAAGAGAAAAATGTTAATCATCAACAATTTAGTAATAGCTTAAAACGGAAAACAATTACAGACATACCAGAGCGAACTAGTATTTTATTTCATAGATAGTTAAAAAAAGTAAACGTGTCCAAACTTACACTAACTGATTTTATGTGTACAAAAAACAATATGCATTATGCACGTAATACTAGTTACCCTAAAATACCCATATTGATAATGTTCACTATGTTTTAAATTCTGTAGAATGTAAAACTAAAGATAATGAACAATTTGTATTATTTAATAACTAGAGACTGGTAAAGTTATGCTATCGTGTCAATTTAACTTAAGCTTTTTAGTTAAAAAAGTGTACTTTATGTAGATGGAACATGTAAATATTGTACTACATTTTTTTATCAGTTATTCACGATTAATGGTATTATATTCCATTTGTATCTTTTTTATTAAAAGATAAGCAAATATTATCTTATATCGATAGCATTTAAAGCAATTTGTCGCTAAACCACTAAAATAAATACTTCATTTTTATCACAAATAATTTACGTGGACTTCGAAAAGGTCATACATTAATATAATATTATGTTGTATTATGATTATATATTTAATTTGAAATTATAACAAATTGTAAATTATTTTTCAATACTACTTTAGGAACACCTCGTGAAAATTAACTGTGAAAAGGATGAAAAGATAACACGAATTGCGTCCGGGACGCAATTTATTCAAAAAGGTACATATACCTAATTTGGTACGCTATTCATGTTCACCCGTTATATGATTTGATTTTATACTATGTCATATTATATGTATACATATATGTAAGAAATTAGTTGATAATTTAACATATAAACTATAATAGGATAAACAATTAACCCCCCCCCCGCCTTAATTTGAATGAATAATTCAATTTTTCGTAATTTTATTTTACTTGATTTGATCGAATTAATTAATTTTTAGTGAACCTCTTGTCCTGCACATTTAAAGTAAGCTGTATAGTGTATAATAAGCGTGTTTTCGTAAGTTAATTTTTGGTAAATAGTTCGTTACTTGGTCGCAATATCGTCAAATCGTTTTGATTACTCTACTGCAGTATTTTACCAATGGATAACCATGTAACCAAAGATGATAAATAATGTAATTTTAAATTCTGAGTGTAGCGAAAAATGTATTGGTTTTATAAAGGTGTTTTAAATTTTTTTTTTTTTTTACTGTTTGTTCCTACAACCACTTAGTTGTCGAAAAATCATTCAGGTATCAAATAATTTTACAGTATTCAATCTGACTATACATATTAGCAGAACAATTTGTTCGTTTAACCAGTGGAAGATCCAAGGGAGCGATCCACACTCCCCCCCCGCGCTTACTCTTCAATTTAGCTACTTTCAACTCCGATATACTTTGAGCTTGATTCTCATTATAAATGCGTGGATTATATGCATTTTCAAGTCAACTTTGTATGGTTTATAATACAAGAAAATTAAATTTTGAGCATATAGTGGCATGGTTACTAGATAACTAAATTTCTATATAATATAATGAATATTACTTGTGCTTTTTTTGCCAAACAAAAAGTACATAATATAGTGACTTAAGATACTTTCATTTTCATTTTTCAATAAAATACGCGTTAAAATATACGCAAACACATGTGCTATTTAAACCAAAATATAAAGGGGAAAAGATACATAGGATAGAGTTATAAAAAAAAATTGACTTAGGCCGATTTACCCCGAAACCAAAGATACGTATTATTACGAGTTATTATCATCCAAAAGCACTAACCTGCCCATTTGCCGTACTTGACGGCCATTGGCGTCCGGTCGGGCATTACCAGTGGCACCATGTGTGCCACGAGCCCCAGCGCGATTTCCCGGAGCGCGTCGCATAGCAACACCAACACGACCACGAAACCGATGACTGCGAATCCCAGGACAATGGGCCCGGTCAATGAACGGTCCGATCCGAAGATCTCCGCGAGTATTGTAGACGACGCCGTTTTTGTTGATTTTTCCGGACGGGGTTTCAAAAGAAAGTTTATAAATTTAGAGGGGAAGGAGGAGAAAAATGTTTTTAAAAACGATCGATAAAGGAGAGAAGTGGAGAGGACGCGATCGATATAATACACGAACGAGTATTACAATGTTAACATTATATTAAATAAAAATATATTATTGTTTATTTGAAAGAATTCGTCATTTGACTATACTTCTTGTAGCTACTATGACGTTACAAATATTGCCGATCGATCGGCCGTCGCCGACTGTCCCGTACGCAATGAAAAACACAGTTCGTCGCGTTCGTCGTTGGCAATTCGATCGCGAGTCTGCGGTGCCCCCAGCCGGTTCGCTGGTTGAACTGTATCGGCTGTTACGTTGTCGTCAGGCACGCGAAATGCGATAACGTCGAGTCGAATCGGTGGGGAGACCATCGACTGCAGTAGCATAATATAATAATATTATTATAACCACCGCGGGCGACCGTCCATTGTGATAATGCATACATCACATACGAGCCGATGAACAGGAAACAGTGTTACTGGGTCAGCTGCGTGTGCGCCGCTGTTGCTCCTCCGCTCTGCGTGCCCACGCGGAGACAATCGCATACTAATATAATATAAAACGTTGTTAATTATTTTTTACACAGGTACAATACAAGTGTATAGGCGGGTACACCGTGCTAAAGTCTGCATGACTGTAGATAATATTATTTTAAACATCTAGAATATTATAATATAATTCACTTATTGTATAAATAATAATTACGCAAAGGAGACATTTTTTTTTTAGTGAATATCCACTGCGTGCACACTCCTCCATCCTCCCTTAAAAACGGATCCATACTTACGAGATTGGACCAAAATATTTTATTCTTTTGTTATGGGAGAAATAAAATCATTAACAACAATGAAACCTGTTACATGTGTAACATAAATAATAATTATACTAAAACTACATAAAAACATAGTCTACTACAGTGTTTGGGTATGGAGAAAATTGCCTACATCACCTTCTCTGAATCCACCACTGAATGACGCAGTGCCCAGTAAAACATTTTTTTATTACAAGATTATAAAATATTTTGCCGCAGAATGAATTAATGTGTACAGCTACGTTACTGAACACTATGTGGGTAAAATAGTTTGATCAAACAGAAATGCATGAAAATTTAACACGAGGTTCATTATAAGTTGTATTTAGTGGTCAAAAAAGAGAAAACTGAACGTGATGTAGTTTTTTTTTAAATTCCGAATGAAGCGAGGTATATTTTACAATGTTTATCGTAACGTTCTTTCAACAAAAATTAACAACAATACATACCGTCAAAAAGATACTAATGAAATACAGGCAAGAATATTTTTATATTCTTTTATATTTTTATTCCGGTGAAATTATTTTAACTTTTGCAAACTATGTTTTCTACCAGAAATCTTGGTCCAATTGAAAAATGACATACATCGATTTTGTTTCATTGTGTACCGAATTACGAACAGTGAAAATTATTTTTTTATATCTAAATTAATTTTCATAATAATTTAGAAATATCAAAAGATACGAAAATTACGGAGCAACGATTGCATTATGTATACAATTATATTTTTCTATTTGTAATCTTTGTTCAAATTTCAAAAATATTATATTTTTTGAAAGAAAATTTAATCTAGTTTGTGAGTAAGAAAGTCGTATAGTTTTCTTTACAATTACGAAAACCCGGGTAAAAACCGTAAGAAATACGGCAAAGTATATGGCATTTGGTGGTTTAGTTGTTTTTCGGTTAAAAATTACTGTAGAGATCTGTAGTTTTCACAAAATACTTATATTGACCTTTTGTAGACTTGGTAAAATTATCAAGATATTCTACATATTAGCCTTTTCTAAACTTGGTAAAATGTGTATTTTTAACATAACATTTTAAATTTTCAAGTTTTTATTTGATTTTATGTGAATTCAAATATTTTCGCGCAGTATAAATTCTCAAAAATTTAACATAAGGTTCACCGTAAGTTTTACTGTTAGTGATAAAAAAAAAAATATATAAGTACTGCTGATGGTTGTGCTACTGTTATAGATGGGATGTTGGGAATATGAGATAAGTCTATAAAGTTATTTAATTTATATCTATAACTTGTAAGCAGTGGTGGTGTACTTTTTTCAACTTTTTTTCCTATGAAACAAATACCTTAAATAAGTACCCACCTACCAATTTTTTCTCACTTTACACTTTATTTTTCACATATTTTAAAAGCAGATTTAATCCTCCGAAGTGTGTATTAATGTATTGTACATTTTACAGCAATCTAAAGATACTAAAAAAAAAAAAAAATGTATCCCACCTGCAAACAAATTGTATCTTAAGTTGCCCCGTGGTAGGCCAACCTCTGCACCACCAATTCATAAAAGTACATAATTTTATAAATATATATTTAATATCAATTAATTTAATCCTGCAATTTAGTGTAATTTGCTTGGTAAAAATAAATTCAGAATATTATTATTATAATTTAAAACATTTTAACTTTCAAATACCCAGTTTTAGTTTTGCATTGTTTTTAAATTTTAACATATTGGAAAATTTCTTATTTTGTTTTTTGTTAATTTTTACCATGTACTTAAACTGAAATATTTCACAACTTCTGTCCTTAGACAGGTACCAAAAAATATATTAGAAGTTGGTACTAGGTTATTTTTTACTTATAACAGTTATAAGTATTGTTCTATGATTTTTTATATAATTTACAGTATTAAATTATAAAATACTTTAGTTTTATTAACTATACTACACAACTAAATTTATTTGAAAATTAAATTATCTTTTAACAAATCAGATGATAAATCAAACTGATTACTAGCTGAATTATAATCAATAGGTATATCTTTTTCACAACTTAATATCGTGAGGCTCTCTAATCTGTGTTTAGTTTTTGAACGTAATCTTGTTATAATTAGTTATACCTTCGGACAAAAACTAAAAGTAAAATTAATTATAAAATATATTAGTTAATTTTAAGAAAAATAATTAAATTACTATTACTTTGGAAAAAGCTCTTTCTATAGAGGCAGAAGCTGCTGAAATGGTAAGGAATCCCTTATAGGTTATGTATAACTTTGAAAATGCATGTCTATTCCAAAATTTGATATAACTTGAAACAATTGATCAGTAATTAATGTTTATTCAGAATTTGTACACTCATTTTCAAGTGAGTTTAAATCTGTATCAGTACTGTTACAACTATCATTGTCCAGTGGATTGTTTTCAATTTGAAGTAAATTATTGGGCACAAGTCCATCTAATAAACCTTGTAGTGATTTATTAAACATAAAATATTCTATTCTTAAATTACTAGGGTCTATACTTGGTAACCATTTCCCTATGTCTTCAAATGCGTCTTCTGGTAATTCAAAATTATTACTTGAACAAAATAAAATTCGCTGCGGTAATAATAAACTTAGGTCCTTTATATTTCATTGGCTTCACAAAATCGAATGGCAATGGTATTTATTATTTTGTCCAAAACTACAAAGTACCCAGTAGTTTTGTAACGTTCGTTTGCTACAATTATTGTTTTATCCGTTGTTATTTCTCATTGTTATTAAGGAAGTCAAAAAATGACCTCCTTAAAGTACTTCCCCAAACCGGTTTCCTTTCAGAAAAGGTACTACACTAAAAAATCGGAGCAAGATTTTTAGTAGAAAAATTGTTAACAGATTAAAAAAAATACAAAAACAAAAAAATAAACATTTAAAATCAATACATACCTCGCTTCATTCGGAATTTTAAAAAAATTACATCACGTTCAGTTTTCTCTTTTTTGACCACTAAATACAACTTATAATGAACCTCGTGTTAAATTTTCATGCATTTCTGTTTGATCAAACTATTTTACCCACATAGTGCTCAGTAACGTAGCTGTATACATTAATTCATTCTGCGGCAAAATATTTTATAATCTTGTAATAAAAAAATGTTTTACTGGGCACCGCGTCATTCAGTGGTGGATTCAGAGGAAGTGATGTAGGAAATTTTCTCCATACCCAAACACCGTAGTAGACTATGTTTTTATGTAGTTTTAGTATAATTATTATTTATGTTACACAATTAACAGATTTCATTATTGAATACGACGGTATTTCAATTTTAAAACATGTTTTATACCTAATAAAAGAAACAAATCGCTAAAATATAATTATATTTTACAGCTTTATTGGTATAAGTATATGTTAGTGTATGTCAACGGAAAACAATCAAATATTATTATAGACTATACAGTGTGATCAATGTAACGTAAGAGTAAGACATTAATTTTCTTTGAAAGTATTAATTTTTTTTGGAATTTGTTTTTAGAAAATTTGAAATATAAGTAGCTCTAAAATACTATATTTTTCTTGTTTTTGTCATCTTTATTTTAGAGGGTATTATAGAATATTTGTAACTGGATTACGATAAATAACAAATTTGAAAAATAATAAAAGCATTATTTTCGTAAATTTCCCGTTTTTTCCATATTATGAATTCCGCCTAGAAAATCAGAAAATGACCTCCTGAAAGTACCATTTGGACAACATTTCCTATCAAAAATGATCTCGCGCGTATCACACTGAACAGAGGTGTAGTGGCCAGTCTGGAAATGGGAATTTTCCAGATGGCCTGGACCGTATTTTGGCCTGATGGCCTAATCATTTTAGGTTAGATTTTATTTACGTTAACAATTCGTTTTTATTAAACCTCCAAAACTTTAAAAACTATGAAACTATTGCGTTAGAATTATTATATTATTAATGAAATAATGCTACATTTTAATAACCTCGTACTATAGTAATTTCAGTATGAGAAAGCATCGCATATAATATTACAGAATATTACATATATATAGACATCAAATAAAATCAAAACAATATCTGGCCGTCGGCTAATTATTTTTATAATAAAACACCCGGATAACATGTGGTCTCAAAACTAATTACTACGAAAATAAATAATCTTACTGATAAAATGTATGAATAGAATAAAAATATTATTCTTTGTATTAATGTACTATAATTAATTATTATTGAGAAAGTTTTGTGTAGTTTTATAGATTATACAATTAAATAGAAAAATACTTCCTAAGATAATGAGGACGGTTGCAGCCTCTTTTACAGGTAATTTATTTTATACCTGTAAGCAATAATAAACTATTGCTAACGAAAAAACGATTCTGAGCAGAATTCAGTTGGTAGTGATGCTTTGTCAACAATATATATGTCATATTATAATAAAATAATTAAATAGGCTTTATATATTTTCTTTAATAATATTTACTATATTTATTTACGAGTATTAACCATTTTAATCATTTAATTTTTACTTTTTTATTTTATTAATAATATTTGTTTAATGTTGTACCGGTTTTCTTACGTTTTTCCCGATTTTTCATATTTGCTGGGAAAACTC